CAAAAACATCAAGAATTGTAACAACCTTTGTAATAGTGGCTCGACCGTGCAGGTGGACGGCCGTGTCATTGGCTTATCTGGAAAAGTTTAATGCAGTAATCGGACCGCCGGATTCAAGAGGCACCTCATGAATGTCCGTTCTTTATATAAACCACCCGATAAACACTATCAAGGGTGAGGGTAAAGAGAAGTGTCGCAAGTGGCCAACCCTGCCGGGTTCCACAGTTGACTTCCCTTTGACATGAGCGGTCTCCATTCACGATAAGTCAACAATTTGGGATGAGAATCCAAGCCACTTTAATGCAGAAAGTAGGCACGGACGTTAAAGCGTCTCGTAAGCCTTGTAAAATTAAGTGACACAACACAGGCTTGGTCAGACCACTGTCTGCCCTCGCCGCTTTGCGGACCGCCTAAGATATGTCCAATGCAGTGTGGATTGAAAGCTTTGGCACAAATACAACTTGAGACGCAAAATGTAGCTTTTCCACACAATAAACAATATTGTTGTACTGAAATACTTAGTAGACACCCGGGCGTAGAAGCGACGTGGGTCTCGCTCGGATAATACGTGTGCTGAACAAGCAGTCGCTCTTTCTTGTTCCGTTGCCATAGACGCCGACACTCTGATACCATTTTACGCAGGTCCGTCGGGGTTAAACTTTAACTTTAAGCTAATGTGTAACGGACAAGTTTAGTTTTGTGCCACGGACCGACAACGTAGATTTATGTAGCTGGAAATGCGCCTCAAAGATGAGTCTTTTGCTAATAATCCCTATCTTAGTGGCTGTTGGTCAGTCGAAAAATTGACTTTGAGCACTGGAAGAGATCCCGTGCAGTACTAGTGTAGATGTGGCGAGAAAAGCTGATGGGCTGTAACCCAGCGTGATTTTGCGATCGAATGGGGTCGGGGTTGGTGGTGGGGTATGTGTATCGTGATGAAATATTCCGTAGGTCCTTTTTGTGCAAAGCACATCTGTTCCAGCGTAAAGACCATGTGGACCATAGCCGCTACAACTTGACCAATTTGTCAACCTCATTGAGCACACTTGTAAGATATGGAGAAGAGTAGGATACACAATATGAATCGTCCTCCCACAAACTAGCTTTCGTTGTTGCCTGCATCCACTTTAAATCATGCCCGATAATCGGGTCATGAGAGGAGATTGCCTGCAACCTCTTTTCACTAAAGATATTTTCTATGACCCGAGTGACAGTCCACGACAGCGTTTATGACACCAGGCCGTAAAGTACTTGTCTGGGTATTGTATTAGCCAGAAATTTAATGCTTTTGTCCACTGCATTTTAAAATCATGGACGCATCAGCAAGCTTTATGCCTCTTACTTTTATGGGGGTGACTTGCGTACCCGGCCTGGATACGTCCCAAATATACCCGTTGCTGTTGCGTGTGAACATAATCATTCCTTATTAAACCATGCACTTCTATCTTTGACTAATATGGTATGTCAATGACTCTCACCAAAAAAAGAAACGAAGAAAGCACAATTTAGCGCAGGATCATAATTCGATTTTACACATTTTTAGCCAATAGCGTTGCAATAAAGAGGTGACATAAAATCTCTTGTATCCTCAGTGCCTAATTATAATTCTCTAATTTCCACATTGCAATTTCATAGCCCATATATTGAGTTATGTCGCTTAGAGGTATGACAGCAATGCCCTTGTATCTCTTAAAAGTCACTGCCCAGTTCAAAAAAAGTATTTTGCTCTTTTCCACATGAGCGTGTAGCCTTAATAAAGTCCGAGGGGTTTTAGCAAGACGGGGAGAATGCGAAAACTGCTCATCCTTCTTAAGGAAACGTATTGGTTCGTTAGAATGTTGATATTGCATTCATTTGTCCATACTTCCCTCGATTTATTGAGTACCTTAACCGCTGTAAAAAACTTTAATACGGGAATAAACACTTTCATCACTAGCTAAATGAACAGGGGCGCGAACTGGCAATCCTGACTAATTGCGGATCACTTCGGCAAGGCTGAGGAATTGTCATTGCTTATGATAATACTAGCCACCGTGCCGTTGTGGATGCGCCGTACGAGATTGACAGAGCATTTTTTTAATCATAAAAAGACACAAATCCTCGTGAACCAAATTATTTTCACTAGAGTGTAATCCTTCCGAAAGTCTAAAAAGTCCTAAACACCTGCTCTGCTCATCAGGCTATCTCCTTGTTTAGTTGCTCTTAGTATTTGAGCCATCGTCATTGTCACAACTTCTGACTGATGTGTTCATTCTGCAACCATGAACAAAGCTCTGCCATGAGTCGTTGATAGCTCTGAGTAGAAATTTTTGTAGCCGGGTCGCTAAAGCTTTTTCAAATACTTCGTAGCTCGTTTATACATAGAAATCTGGCAATAATCTATGGCTATGACAAAGTCGCTCCTTTCTGGATAAATTGATTAACTCTTGTAGAAAAAAAGAAACGTAAGCTTCATTTCTTTAATAATTTATGTCTCAATTTGACCAGTGCCGGTATCATAAGGTTTACAGCATTATAATATAGGTCTTTATCCCAGCCCGTCTGGGTGACAAATAATGACACTTAATCCTGGTGATTTCTGAAAGCACCTCTAAATCTGTAATAATATGCAGTATGATCTCATATGCAGATCTCTTATGCAACGCTCTAGCGGAATATTCGCAAATGTTCGAAGCTCTTTGCAGGTAAGGATATTTCAGACGTGATCATGTGACTACGACTTAAAGAATGCTACCACTTAATGATAATTCAGTTTGCCACATATATTCTGTACGAAAACTGGACCGTAACGCGCTTAATAAGATATGGTGCGTTGGTCCCGTTACAATTTAAAGGACCAGCTGCAGGACCACCTGAGTCGTTCCGATGATCATTTAATCTTCGAGCCGCAAATACTGCTTAGCCCCCATATCGTCCAGATTAGCGAACACCCACCCCCATCGTGTTAAGAAAGGCTAATGTTTACGCTTACGAAGTATTAAAAAAACGTTTTCGGCACCCGCCAGAACTGTATGATGAATGTCATGCCCACCTCCGCGTCCGTCAAGTCCCGTGTAAATTCGTTTGAACGGTTTGCGATGGATGGTTCAAGTAGAAAAAGAAGGTTGAAGTTTTAAAGTGTCGGAACGATTCATCTGCCACAAACACCCCTGGTACAGAAGGACTTGACCATGGTCTAATATTAAAACGGAGGAGACGTAGAGACCAGTAGGACCTCTAGTTTTCAGTACTGAGGAATGTAGAGCTTATATTCGACTCGCCGTCTCCGCTGTCTAGAAGGCGGTGATGGGTTGTGATAATATTATCGGCAGCGTCGTCTCAGAGATGCCTAGCGTTATTTAGGCCTATCAACGCCACCAGTTTCTTTAGTGAGGAGTCTTGAATACGTTCGACCCTCCGAATTTTAATCGATCCGACAGCGGGTTTTTTTACGCTATTAGAATCTCCCACAACAATAGCGGTCCCTTTCTTCATGTTCCAATCTATAAAGACAGATGAATAACCTCTCCCTCTCGGCTTGAAGTGTCGGTGCGCATATGCTGATAATAGTATATCGTCGATACTTTATCCGATCACCCATGGCATCCACTGGTCTTCACTTCACGTGGCTGATAAGGACGCTGATGTGTGTGTATAAGATATCCAACCCACAGGACTTGGTTGACCCGATTCTCCGATAAGATACATTAGCTTATTCTGGGTCAAAGTGTACGATCTAAAGATTACTCCAAACAATTTGTAGTGCACTCGCTTCTTTCGCGGGTGCCACGTATATTTCTGGATACACTAAGCTATCGACCTACAGTGCACCAGAAATTGCCGCCTGGCTGACATTTAAAGTAATCGTGCTTTTTTTGAGAACATCCGACAATTTGGGCGATAAGCCTTTCTGTCGCACTCCCGACGCTATGTTGTCATCTGGTAGACAGGGTGAAGCTGTATAAAAAATAGCTGCGCCCGCAAGTGTAAGCACTCAACAAATACAATTTGCAATGGTGGGTCGAGAGAGAAACTCGTGTAGTGCCCTCAATACCTATGGAGGGTTTTCTCCTTCAGGCGTGCCAGCCCAGCGTAGAAAGACCCTTTGAATGCTCCACCCTAGTCGCCAAGTAAAATCCTTCAACCCATTCGGCTATTGCTAAGAAATATAGAAGCTCACACATCACATGTTTTTCCAATTCAGGAATGCCGTATTGGGATCACATAGCTAAAGCTAATCAACCGGGCTTAATTGATTGACTCATGTTTCTTAGTCATCAAGATGGTCTTTTAGTGGTGACAGCATAGTGTTATCTGGTCTATGTTTCGCGTGTTCAAATCTTCGCTTAACCCACAAATTCGCCGATCCATCGCTGTTTTAACTGTAACTTTGTAAAGCATTACGTAAGGAGCAACGTTTGCGATCCTTCACTCATCAAATGACGACCTAGTTGTCTATTTTTTTTTGCAAAAAATCGCGAAGATAATAACTCTCGACCGGCCAGGTCAGATGTCCTGGTGCAAGTTATGCTATAAAGGAAACACCTTGGCCAGCAAGCGAAAAACTAAAGGTACAGTCCAGCGATCAGTAATGCGTTCATCCCATGGGTAACACGAGTAACATGGTTACTCGTGGTTACTCATACACGACTATTGGATGAGTAACGGCATGGAGGTGATTACTCATGACCGACTATCCGATGAGTAATGGTATAGAGTTGATTACACTATGCGACTATCCAATGAGTAATGCAAGTCGTGTCGATTACGATTGAATAGTCGATTAATTCATTAGGCTTAGAGTAGCAAGAAGAAGTTGCGAACTAAGGACCTAAATATATTCACTTTGCAATTTACCTCACACCAACAACCAGCAATCAGACTTATAGATTCTGAGCCAGAGCCCATCTGACCCTGCGCCAGCAGCCCTCGCATCTGCCGTGGACGCCTCGATGACGACCACTCGCATCAACAAGTTAGATGGGACAAACTTTCACGTGTGAAAGGTTAAGATGCAAATAATGCTAGAAGACCGCGACCTGTGGGACATGATAAGCGGCGACGTTAATCCAGAGCACTGCCTTACGTTTAAGGACAAAGTGACGTACAAGCGGAAGGGAGAGGAAGGCTTTTGCGATCATCTTTCTGGAGATGGAAGACTCGCAGCTTCCACTGGTGCGTCGTCACTCGTTGCTTACAACGCATGGACGACGTTGGTGATGTACTTCGAGAAGAAGAGTCTCGCGAACAAGCTCTTTTACTTCGTCGTCAGTTGCAACAGTCATGGAAGATGAGGACGATGTGCATGAGCGCAATAACAAGTTGCGGACACTGGTGGAGCAATTTGACGCGGTCGGCGCATTGGTTAGCGACAAAGATCTTTGTAATCATGCTCTTGAGCAGCCTCAGCGACTCGTTTCAGCTCCTGATAGATGCGCTTGAGTCGCGTTCGTATGGGCTCACTTGAAAACTAGTGACAATTCGTCTGCTTCACGAAGACCCCAAACGGCTGGAGCAGAACGACGGCGTGTCTGCGTGTAAAAATCGTTTAACACAAACGTGAAGCGAAACAATAACTATCCGGCGAAAGCTAAAGACGCATGCAGACACTGCGGCAACACGGCTATTGGATCGCCTCATGTCCAATTTTAACTTCGAGAACACGAAAACGGTGTACCTCGGCCCAACGGAAAGGCGAGTCTTGCGCGCGACAACTCGCGTCTAAACGAGGACTGATGACAGATACTATCTGTTCATGATCCGTGTCGGTTCAGTCGACACCGAGTCCGAAATTGGGCCAATAATTGTCGAAAAACTGGCTAATTGACTTAAGTGTTACGCAGCACATGACACACTCGAAGTCGGTCTTGACCAGCTTTCGATCAATCAGTTGGTTGAGTTTTCACTGTTTGACGAAGGTAATGTGGAAGAGGTCGGGTGCGGCGACATCGAGATGAAGATACAAACGACTTGCGGTGTATGCAAGGACAGTTGAATATGCACCAAAGAAGATGTTAACGGTAAAACGCTCGTCGGCATCCCTGTGGATGACATCCTGGCTACGGCAACCGAACCTTAGAAGGTCGAAGAATCCTTGTATGATACGCAAGCTGTTGAGCTTAAGAACTTCGGTGTGGTATTCAATTTTCTTGGTATATTGTTTCATTACGATGACGAGAATGGATGGAAACTCAACCAATGAATGAAAAAGTAAAAAACATTATTGACGAGATGCTCGAGAGTTTTGAATTAGCCGAGTCGGCACCGGTCAGGGTGCCAATCGGCGGAGAAGCCGAAGACGAAAAAGGCACGATGCGACCTTGGTAAACGACTCGCCGAACACACCAGCTGTGCAGATTTTCCAGTTTCTATTCGGCAGTCTGTTTTTAATAGCTCGACGCACGCGACCCGACTTCGCATCTGCAATTCACCGAGTTACACGTCCTTCGCACGCGCCGGGTGAAAGCTTTTAATTTGCGTCCAGAGAAAGATCGCAAAATATTTCAAGGGCACTAAGCACCTGAATCCATGATAAAGAAGTACAGGACTTAATCAAAGATGACGGCATGTTAGTCGAAGCATTCAGCGACGCTGACTACGCCGCAGACAGGACTGACAGGAATTCGGGCAGCTGTGGTGTGTTCATGGTGGGCGGCATAATTGTAGGCTGGATGGGCAAGAAACACAAATGTGGTGCACTTTTAACGACGAAAGCTAAGTATGTGGCAGAAAAGCAAACAGAGGCTGAGATTATGGGCATCGTGAGCTTTTAAAATGGTTCTGTACGCAGCTTCAGACAGGTGCGACTTTACACATGGATGACCAAGAAGCCATCGCTAAATCAAGGTTGAGAAAACATGGTGAAACGACGCAGCCATTGTTATGGGCAAAGGATTTGAAAAAACCTGCACGAGAGAGATTGAATGTAACGGTCATCAAAGGTGACATACGACGAAGGTAAATGAATGCATGAGCTCAAATATATTTAGTCCTCAATTGACTTCCTATTTCTTAGCCCAAGTTCGACAGTAAGCGTTGTACCAGCAGCAACATCGGTACTGCAGTTGGTTTGATCAATCATATTGCATGTGCAAACAGTATACTGACCCAAAACGGTCTGAAGATAGATCACTTTTCAAGTCGCCGTTTTTAACCTGTTACAACGTCGGCTTCAAAACATGCGAGAGGAGTCGGGGTCATGGTCGAGATCACTGTGCTGTTTAATTTGGTAGCTTAGACCTTTATGCATTTACATTACAATTTGTAGCAAATGGCTAATTTGTACAGTACGATTGGGTTTGTATGTGTCAAAGAATGGGTTCGTGTACCTATAAATCTCCTTTATCATTCGTAAACGAGATTGTTTAAAGCTTGAAGGGTAAAACTATAAGCGGCTGTGCGCAAGGTTGCATTACGAACTTTAAATTGTACGCATCTGAATGTCTGTGTGCGTAACGGGACTACACGCGGTTATGTGTTCCTTAGACGTTCCAAGCGCGATCTAGTCTGTCCACTCTTCATGGGCTCATAGGTATATTCTCAAAGTCACTCTTTGGTAGGTTACTCTTGCGGTCCACACTCTTAATTGGCTGAAAAAAAGATCAAAGATGAGTATGACCACACAAGCTAAACACTTATAAGCAAAGGCCGATCGCGCTGCCCAAGTATATTGTACTGGTTTAAAAGAGAAATTTACAGCGCTATAATCATTCTTTAGTGACTGCTGCTGTTGTGTAGTGTTTTGCAACTTGATTTAGTTCTTCAAATGGGAGTACATATATCGAAGGGCGAGCTCCAGAACTTGCTCCCGTATCTAATCAAAGATCGAGCTCCGGAGCTTTCTCCGGAGCTTGCTCCCTTATCCTACATTTAGGTTGCAATTTGTAATTAATTGCTTGATAGGTGTGTGAGAATCGAAGGATGGGTGCGTACCGATAAATCTCAATTATCATTTGTAAACAAGATTGTGAAATACTTTTGAGACCTGTGATATTCTCGATTAAATCAATCAGAAGGCGTAAATTGCACAACTACGGCAATATATCGTGGTGGCGAATTAAACCTGGTGGGTGGTATTGGTAGGTAAATGTTCCCTTTAATGTCTTGCATTAACATCGTATGTGAAGCACTGATCGCCATCAGCCAATAATTGGATGTTGTCTAACACCTCTTGTACTAGATCGCACCGCATCACGCTTAAAATGATACGAACACATGTACGTCTCTCGAACAGAAAAGCCTGGTAACGCACGGGAATTCGTTAACCAATGCTGCTTGGCGTTGCACGCGACTGTTTCTATTTCTGAAGTCGAAACTGTAGTGCGCCACTTTTACAAAAGTGGTAAAAACACTTATTTTTGTGTTAATACCGATAAAAACGTTGCTACCGCTCTCTATTGGGGTGTCTGCGCGGCGCGCTACTGAGTCTTCTATTAAGGTATCTGCACTGCGCGATGATCCGTAGTGGTTCGCTGTGCATGCGCCGCGCCTGCTTCAAGACAGCGTCAATTATACGGCGATGGAAAAGTGAGGAGACTGTGCCGCCCGTGCAGAAGCTTAGCGATGAGATCCGACGCTCGCAGGAAGAGACGCGTCGTGTGTTGCTCTTGATCCGCACCTTCAAGCAGGTTAGGTCAGGTCGTTCCTCCATATCTGTGCTTCTTTTTATAATACCCTTCCCGTGTATCCAGTGTATACCCCTCACCGCCTCTATTTCTATATATAAATCTGTTACACATCGATCGCTGTTCAGTATGGCCACTATGTCGCCCAGATCGACCCGCTTCAGAAAAGTACGTGCTTCGAGATTGCGCAATCAGCGTACATAGACAGACAGGTAGACATGTTTACGTGCTGACTCATTGACTGCAACAGGAGAAAAGTTGCCCGAGCTCGAGCGATGGGTCAACGGAGACCGGTGGGTCGAAACGCCCTTTTTTGACGAGTTTAACCTGCGCAGCCTCGCGTCCAAGAACCTCCTGGAACTCACGACGCACGGTAAGCGCTGGTGTTGAGGGAGCGATGAGGAAGACGAAGAAGAAGTGACTGGAGCTGTTGGACTGGTGGTCCTCTTGGTCTGACACAAGCTGTTGGTGATTGTGTGGTTGGGGATGCAGGTTTCACGGCCAGTGACTTGGATCGCGAGTTTTTCATTGGCCAGGATCTCTCCATTGGTCCAGTTGCGACACTTCGAGAGGTGGGCGCAATCGAGCATTTGAGGTTAGAGATGCGGTGACGTTGGCTCGTATCGCTCATGAGCCAGTGTTTGCTGTGCGGCTGTTGTGTTCTGTTGTGTTGGTGTTCAGATTGTGACGGAGCTCCAGGAACTCTTCTGCGGACGTATTGGGCTTGAGTATCAGCATTTGCGCAATCGGGATGCGGCGCTCTGGATCCGTGAGCGGCTGGAAGAGTACAAGGTAGAGAGAGAGCGAGAAAGAGGGGTCTTGCAGTTAAATTGGGAGTTCATTTTGGAAGCTTATCGGCTTCTTTCACCTTCTTTTTGGTGCAGCAATACCACTTTCGTGATGAAGAAAAGATCGATATGCTGCGCCAAATGGTGCAAGCTGAGCTCTTTGAGCGCTTTCTTGGACGACGTTTTTCCGGAGCTAAACGCTTCTCGATTGAAGGCGGTGAGAGCCTGATACCTGGTCTTTGTGAGCTCCTTCAAAATGCTAGTGACCACGGCGTGGAGGTCGTCCAGATGGGAATGGCTCATCGAGGACGTCTGAACGTTCTGGCAAACGTACTACAACGACCACTGCGGTCGATTATTTCTCAATTCCAGCCATACTTGCCGGATGAACCTGATTACCCGAACAACTCGGACGATGTGCGATACCACCTCGGAACATCGTCCGTGATTGAGACGCGCAATGGCAAACACCTGGAAATTAACTTGGTGGCGAACCCGTCACACCTAGAAGCGGTGAATCCGGTCGTGCTTGGTCAAGCGCGGGCTTGTCAGACGCAACTAGGTGATGACGGCAGTCGAGTAATGCCGATTTTGATCCATGGAGACGCTTCGATGTTTCAAGGGTCTGTCCGAGAGACACTGGGCTTCAGCTCACTGGAAGACTTTCGAACCGGTGGAACAATCCATGTGGTTGTTAATAACCAGATTGGCTTCACCACACTGCCGAAGAACGCAGACTCCGCCGTGTATTGCACGTACGTTGACGCATCTACTTGCAAAAACGACCATGATATGAAAACTCGCCTTTCTCTGACTTCTACTGATGTCAATCTGTTTCAACTTTTCCATATGCTCAGCGATGTTGCGAAGGTCTCGAGAAGTCCAATCTTTCACGTGAATGCTGACGACCCGGAGGCAGTAGCAAAGGTGATGAGAATGGCAGTGGAATTCCGTCAACTGTTTCAATGTGATGTGACCATCGATCTGGTGTGCTACCGTCGTCACGGGCATAATGAACAAGACTCACCGGAGATCACAGCACCGATTATGTATCACTTTATCAACAAACACCCCACCGTGATCAAATTGTATTCTCAAAAGCTTGCGAGCGAAGGCACCTTGTCAGCGGACGACTTCGCACAAATGTGTTCTTCGTTTGAGAATCACCTTGACTCCGAGTATGACCACTCGCGGGAAATGCATTCTGGTTGGGACAATTCTGGCGACACATCGTGGAAAACCGAGTCGTACACGGACAAGAGCAGTCTCAACACAAAGTGTGTGACCAGTCTTTCGAGTGCAGAAGATACTGGTCGGAAGCAAATCTACGACCGATCAAAGGGCGTCGATCAGAAGTTTCTAGAGAAACTAGGCAGTCAGCTATTTCGGATACCACGGGGATTTTCCGCTCATCGGAAAGTTGAAGCCATAATGAATAATCGGCTGCGCGCAGTCGAGACTGGTGCTCGAGTCGATTGGGCGACAGCAGAGATGCTAGCGTTTGGCTGCCTTCTCGTTGAAGGCATTGATGTGCGGCTCAGCGGACAAGACTGTGAACGCGGCACCTTCAACCAACGCCACGCTGTTCTATACGACCAATTTGAAGCTCTGTCCGGACGCAGTTCGTCATATACGCCGCTGAATAATCTCGACATAGGTGGATTGAGAGATACACTACTCATGACCGAGCTAGAAGATGCACCACAAGGCCGGTTTGACGTCGTGAACAGTCCTCTTAGTGAAGAGGGGGTGCTTGGCTTTGAATATGGCTACTCTTTGCAAACTCCAATGGGCTTGACCATTTGGGAAGCTCAATTCGGTGATTTTGCGAATGGCGCTCAGACAATGATTGACACCTTCATCACTACGGGCGAGCAGAAGTGGCAGCGACAATCGGGTATCGTGCTGAACTTACCACATGGCTTCGAAGGTCAAGGACCGGAGCACAGCAGCGCACGGATCGAGCGTTTTCTTAATTTAGTCAATGAAGACTGCGACGAGTTTACAACAAAACAAGATGTTGATGCCGCAACAACGCGAACGAACGTTCAGGTGGTCATTCCGTCCACGCCTGCCCAATACTTCCACGCTCTTCGTCGTCAAGTATCTTCTAGCCATCGGAAGCCGCTGATCATGTTCACCCCGAAGTCGCTACTTCATCACCGCCCGTGCAACTCAGACTTGGTGGATTTGACCCTGGGTACGTCATTCCAGCGCGTGCTTCCACCACACCCCGATGATGTAGCCACTATGGCGGATGAAAACGAGGTGAGTGCCGATGGTGCCTTTTCCAACCCACTGTCAGAAGTTTGTTGTCCAACCCTCTTTCTGCTGTCTTTTGTTAGATCCGTAAGCTGGTGCTCTGCTGTGGGAAGATTTACTTCCCGGTGCGCCATAACATGCGGATTCGTGGGATTCATGACATCGCCACGGCTCGAATTGAGCAGCTCGCCCCATTCCCTTTCCACGAAGTGGCAGATTGCATCGCACGATATCCTCACGCGAAGATCGTGTGGGTCCAGGAAGAGCCGAAGAACATGGGCGCGTACAGCCACGTTCTCCCGCGTTTAGTAACGATTCTCAAGCACCTGGGCGACTCGCGCGACGTCTCATACATTGGACGCCCCCCGTCCGCGTCACCCGCAACTGGCCAGTACGAAGTCCATGTTCACGAAATGAAGACAATCGTTGACGAGGTACTGCGTGAAAATAGTTGAGGTCGTGCTCTACCATTGGATTGCCTGTTAATGATACTTGCGCCAGCACTTACTATGGCTTCACGTGAGCTTGGCGATCATTGCGTTCGTCGGTCTTTACTTGTCGATCACTTGCATTTCTGCAGTACCAGCCATGGTCGGTGGAAACCATCTCGCTTTTGGCCAGAAGAAACTTCGTCCTGCGACAGTTATCGTTTGTAGTACATCGCTGCTTTTTGCCTAGTCTTGTCCAGTGTTCGTAGCCAAGTAACTTGTTGTCGACATCATTGAGTGCTTGTGTGACGCACTGATGACCCGTCCTCTTACGCACCGATACAACAACAAGAACGACAGGGAACACTTGATGCGAGAGAAGCGGACTGCAGGATATTCTTGTGCAGGGCACGTCGACAATGGATCGAATCACCCTGCAAAACGAAGAAGTTCCTACTCTTCGCGGTCTGCCTACAACTCGCCGACACGTTCGCTGAGCATGAGTTCGGTCCCACGAAATGACCTCCTTCAAGACCGTGACGACTTACGTTGAGATCCAGTACCGGTTGTTTATGTACAGTAGCACCGAGCGAGATACTCTTCGTCCAGTGGTGCGTCTGGGCACATTTGAGCACGTTGTGAGCCCGAGAGCAGCCCCCGCCATCCGGTAGAGTGCACACAAGAATCACACCCTGGACTTGGTCCAAGGACGGTTTCTATGGGCCCTTTTGGGAGTGCCCGCCGTGGCGCCCGATGTCTTGAGCCGGCAGAATGAGAAGCTAGGAGTAGTAAGACTGTGTCATGGTAGATGACACGAGGTGGTTACCACACAACCAGACATCTTGTTAGTGACAAGTAGCTACAGTAGACAGTCTGAGCCTTTCAACACATTCTGAGTGCTGCAAAGCATTGCGAAGTACTACTACTCATGTCAACGTCAAGTACCACTACCATCGGGAAGCTGTTCCGAACAGCGTGTTGCAAAGCTTGCTCTGATTTCCCCTGCTCGATTCTGCGTGTTTGGTTTCGCAGGTCCACTGGCAATTACACACTCTACACCGACATTGATATACGATCAAGGCTTGTACGTCTCGTTCACATCAGCGACAGTCTCCACTCTGTCTTCTGTCTAGAGAGCTGGAGGTGCAACTTCCACTGCTTGGCTGTTCATGCAACAGTTTGTAATGCTCCTCATGCTCGAACATCTCGCTATCTACGATGTGTAGTAAATCAACTGACCATCTCCTGCTGCAACGCGATTCGACACATCTGCAGTTAGTCGAATCAACCCACGAATGACTCACATCGAATCTCTGATCCGGCTCTCTCTTTCTCAGTCACACAAACGAGTCGCTCCGACAACCCCCCCCGCTCATCACACCCTCGCCTTCTGCTTAACCACTGGCCATGACAAGACGCTTGCATCCGATTCTGGTCCACTCGCTTCCTGCTACCGATGCTACCTGCCGACCACCTCACTTTTGATCAGGTTCCAGTGGATACCGTCGTGATTCTACACATTCCATTGAAACTTGTCATGCTTAACACTTGGCACGTCGCCGTTGCACTACTAGCTCTGGTTCCTTCCAACATAAACGTCTGTGGAAACGCATCCGGGACTACTCGTTGCAGCGTCAAGGCCCCTAAGGCATCACGCTTGACGACCTCATCCGAATACACACTTAGTTCCCTCAAACACCCGACCATCACTGGTCATCGAGGGGCACCGGGATATCTGCCAGACCATACTATCGAGGGGTATACGCTAGCTATTGATGTCGGCATTGACGTGATCGAGCCGGACCTCGTTAGTACCAAGGACGGCGTGCTCGTCGTACGTCACGAGCCTTATATTGACGGCACTACGGACGTGGCTTCCCACCCCGAATTTGCTGACCGTCTTACCACCAAGATACTGGATGGAGCGCCCGTGCAAGGCTACTTTGTCAGCGACTTTACCCTCAAAGAGATCAAGACACTGCGTGCCAAGCAGCCACTGCCTGAGCGCGACCAGAGCCACAATGGTCGATACGAGATTCCGTCGTTCGAAGAGGTGATTCAGCTAGCACAGCACAAGTCCGTCGAGTATAATCGCACTATTGCCATCTACCCGGAAGTGAAGCACTCGAGTTTTCACAAGGCACTTGGCGTGCCGATTGAGCAGACCATGCTCGAGCTGCTGACTCAGTACGGATGGAATCATGCTGACGCGCCCGTGTTCATTCAGTCGTTCGAGACGGCGAACTTGCGTGAGCTCAGGAAGGTGACAAACGTCACGTTGGTGCAGCTTATTGACGGCTTTGGGAGTGACCCTGTTTCCGGCCAAGTTCTTTTTGAGACACCGTCCGCTCGACCTTTCGACTGGACGCTGGCTAACCGTAGCGACAATTATGGATACCTCATTACTCCGGTCGGTCTTGCTGAAGTGGCTACGTATGCTGACATTGTCTCGCTCTGGAAGCGATATTTGCTCAAGGCTGTTGCTGTTGAGGTGGATGCTGCTGGAAACGTTGTTGATTCGGATGGTGACGGTCAGATCACGGATGCTGACTATAATATCATTGAGGCCTTCGACGTTATCAAGGATGCACATGACGCTGGTCTAAAGGTACATACGTGGACAATTCGTGATGAGAACTACCGTCTAGCAGCGAACTATGCTGGCAACGCGACGCTCGAGTATTTGCAGCTCTTCAATATGAAAATCGACGGATTGTTTAGCGACAACTGCAAGACGGCAGTGAGCGCCCGTGATGCGTGGCTGGCTGCGCAGCTGTGATATCGATTGAGAAGCACACGAATCTTCGTGTTCAAACTCAGCTCGTACCAAGTAGAGGATGAGATCGTGAATGGAAGTGTATTATGGCCGGCTTCATCAGTTTGGCTGCTTACTATCTTGTTGCCGTACAACAAGTCATGAGCCAGTGTCTTTAATGTGCAGTAGCCATTTACAATTGTTCCAGGTACCTGAGATTACTACTCCGAGTACACCTTCCGGTATAGACATTCCTGCTCGTGGCGTGCCTTGAGGTACATTGCATGTGCTGCTGCATCAGGGTGCGCGTATTCCAGCTGTGTACTTGGTTTTTGAAACGATGCAGACTCTTCAAGGGAATGGAGACCCAAGTAGGTGCCGATCAGCATCGCTAGACCACGCGAAGTTGTTTCGGTCGTACTTGCTTCGAGGATCAACTTCTTCCCCAGACAGTCAGAAATCATTTGTCGCCAAACCCGCGACGAGGTGAGCGCAGTCCCGCTTACGACGACCGTCGCATCCACGTCGGCAAAAGATGCTAGATTACAACATAGTTTGCAAGGTAGAAACACTAGTCAGACATGGCAGCAATTTATCGACTCACGCGATGCGCAGACGTACCAAGGAGCGAAAACAGCACACCAAGACGAAGAGCAATCGATTCCATGCCCGCACGTAGAAGTTCGATGGGTGTCGTCCACTTGCTGATGCCGCTGATGGTACAAGTCGCACTTTCACACCAGCCAGGAGCACGCTCACCCCTCAAAAACGGTAACACAACCAGACCGTGCTTCGTCGGAACAAGCTTTTCCAGCTGAGACGACAGGTCTGCGTACGAGCACAGCAGGAGTGACTTTGTCAGACTGTACAAATGTTCAGCGGCTGACAAGCAAATTGCACATACTCTCGTTGCTTAAACGAAGCGACTCGCGAAAGAACTTGTAGACCGATCCACCATCGCTGAGTGCTCCGCCGAGAAGAACTCGGTCTTGACCAATTCGGTAGCACCACAAACCCTTTGGCACTTTGGCTGTCTTCATCACATCTGCATCTAGCATGACGCGAAGCGCAGCGCTAGTGCCGATGGTCACAGCGATCCTCCTGTTGATGCACCAAAATCACAGGAGAAAATCAGCTTGCACTGTTTCGAGGTTACCTGCTTTCACGTACGATGCGTCGATGCACTTGGACCCGACGTTAGCTGCAGCACCATCCGCTACACCCAGGAAGAACGGCACATTCTTCAGCTCGGGCCATCGTCTCGAGAATGTCGCGTTAAGTCCACTAAACGGCACCGAGGAGTCTGCAACTGGCGGCATCTTGCTCATATCCATATCAACGAGCTCAAGTATTCGTGCGTCCCACTGCTCGCGTCTGAAGTCAAGTAGTCCCATCCACGAGGCCTCCGAAAAGCTGATAGGTACGCCTTCACCCTGCGCTGCCATTGTCCACTTACCGATCAGATAGCCAGGAAGACTCTGCCACTTGGCAACCCGTTCTACCACAGCTTGCTCTTCCTCGTGAAGACGTAAGAACGTGGCGGGTGCGTATGCCGGGTGAACGACCGTTCCTAGCAGCAGTCCGGCTTGTCAGATCAACAGCTCTTTACAAAATTAGTAGACCGTATATTCCTTGTCTTGTAGTACTACCTGTGCGATTGTGCATCTCGTCCAATTGCCCACAAGCTGCGAGTCGCTCCTGCAGTCTCTTCGCCCACTCGGCCGTTGTCTGTCTCCGCCCAGCATACTGCAACCACATCACAAGGTCAGTTGAGTCGACAATGACATAATCAACAAACGTCCACGAAAACTGATCTCACCGTGTACACGGGTGTGACTGCGTTTCCACTTGAGTCAACACCCAGCAAGTTCATGGAAAAGGTGCTGAAACCCACGCCCACGAGCTCTTGCGTGAGGTCCACAGCCCGGAGGAATGTCATTGTCTGGTCCAGGACGTGCTCCACAATCACTTCAATCTTCGCACAATTGGCTTCTCCATGGACGTCAATTGAGAGATTGTGCTGCTGTTGCATTGACCCATCAAGGAGGACCCATTGACCTTTGGATACAAGTGCAAAACAGCTGGCACGAATCGAGGAGCTCCCAATGTCTAGGGCAATCACCACCGGGAGACCACGATACTGCTGAGGATGAACGAGTCCACGTAGGTACTTCTGACGTAAGAGACGCTGTTTATGGTAGTGATAGAGCCACGCAGCAACGAGAGACGAGGAGACCGTGAGCAGGGGCAGCAAGAGCTTCATTCGGCTCAATGGATGGATACTTTTTTGCGCTTCAATGACGACGATCGATATTCTGACCAATTGCACGTCGTGGTCTCTAATATATGGACCAATCGTACGTCGCTTCAAGGTCTTTGATATTTTGTACTTGCTTGACGCGTCCAACGTGATCTTCAAGTATGAAGCGACCGGTTTATTCTCTTCTGTAGGTGTGCAAAGCGCCACTTACCCACCGGTACAAACTGCACCACCGAATAATGATCAAGCAGAGCGTCCAACTCGTGGCGCTGCCATTGCGTCGAGCTTTCCATGCGTCTACGAGCCGCTTGGCACTCCAGACAGTCAACGTTCCGTCCATGGGTGACTCCATAAGCGAAGGAACGCTGGTGGAGATCGTCAAGAAAGCAGGAGACGCCGTGCACGCTGACGAAGTGGTGCTCGTGCTCGAGACGGACAAGGTACCGATCGTGTTTGTACCCATGCTGACTGGATTGTGTGACTGTAGTCATAACAAAGCGGCACCCTTGCTCAGTCAACAACATGGTTACTAGGACTAAATAGCTCTGCAACTAACTGTCTCTGCTCTTAGGTGAGCGTGGACGTGACGAGTCCCGTAGCTGGAACAATCGTAGAGGTCCTGGCTCAGCTCGAGGAGAATGTCGATGTGGGCAAACCGCTCTTCACAGTGGACGACGCACTGCCTCCTAGTGGTGGGTCTACTACCGAGTCGCCACAGACTGAGACTTTTGTGTCGTCCGCGGCCACACCAGAAGCTACTGCTGCTGCAGTGTCGGAATCCCGCTCACCTCTGATCAAGTTCCTGGGGAAGCGCTCGCTGCTGCCTCCTAAGCCGTCGGCACGACCTGACCCGGCACACCTCGATCTTCCGTCGTCACGTACGCAAGCTGTGTCTGTCCAGCCATCGAGTGCCGACGTCCTTCCATTCACCAGTGCCAAGCGCTTGCCGCTATCGCCTGCAGAAGTGGAATCCATCAACTCGGGTCTTGCCTTCTTGTAGACTTGTAGCCGAGTAGCGACAGTCCGTTGTCGCAGCGCGTGATGGTGCAACCTCGTGTCGATACCGGAACGAGAGAGAAGGCACGGAAAACGACACGACGGTCGGTGCCTTGAGCGGGTAAGTGGCTGTCCAGTCCGTGGACAGAGAGAGAGCGGGATCTAAGACGAAATACACAACAATCGCACGCTTGCTATAGACGTAATCGGCCACGCCTGTTCTTCTACGCAGCAACCGACGTCACACTGAGACAATGGCGGCAACACCAAACATTTCGTGCTGTGGACACACACCGCCCCCGATGGCCCAGTCATTGCAGCCTGGAACAGTACACTTCTTGCCCCCGCCGTGAGCCTTGCAGTAGCCTCCCCCACGGTTGGTTTTGACGCAACCCTCGGTTTTGCACCGCCCACCACCTCCATGACGGATGCAATGGCCACCACTATTTGCCTTACGCGTGCATTCCGGGAAGCTGCACGGTTTCGTTCCACCGTGAGCCTTGCAAAGGCCACGAGCCTGTCCTAGACGCTCACACCCAGCTACGGTGCACCGCGGTTTTCCACCGTGGGCACAGCATCGCCCAAAGCGGATCTAGAGGAACCACGCGAGACATAGACCGTTGGCAACAGCAATATGTGGACGAATCTCGTACCAACTAGTCTCGTTCGTACCTGTTTCTTTGCGCAGTCGGGAAACGTACATTTGAAGCCGCCGCCGTGTGAAAGACAAAAGCCACCACCTTGGTCGTGCTTACCACATCCACGGTGTGAGCAGCGCTTGCCCGTGCCGCCGTGCTCTTTGCATCGTCCGCCGTTGAGAGCCCAGTTGCGACAGTCTTCAGCTTGACACCGTCTACCGCCACCATGCGCTTTGCAGCGACCTCCACCAACACATGGAGTTGTACACCCTTCCACGTAGCATTTCTTTCCGCCGCCATGAGCAACACAAAGACCGCCACCTTTGTCCTTCTTGCCACATCCCTGCACCTTGCAAAAGTAGCCACCACCATGAGCTTTGCACTTGCCTTGCCCCCGATCGTATTTTTCACAGCCTTCCACCTTACATCGTGCACGCCCTCCATGGCCACTGCAAAGTCCGTATCGGATGGCTTTTTTCGTACAGCCACTCATCCTGCAGTCGCGTCCGCCTCCATGAGCCAAGCACAAGCCCTGGCCCGCGTCATACTTGCCACACTTCTTGATGGAACACTTCCGGCCACCGCCATGTGCACAACAGAGCGCGGACGTACCAAGAGCGACGCGCGTGCAGCCTGCAACACCGCAGCGTTTGGAGCCGCCGTGGTCAGGACACGTGCGCAGGTTAAAGAACGCACAGAACGGCGTCTGACAGCGGTAGCCGCCCCCGTGGGCAATGCAGAGACCTCCTGCTTGCGCAAACTTGGGACAGTTTTCAAAGCGGCACCGATAGCCACGTCGATCGGTCGTGGTCTCGGTCAGCGGGACCTCTTTCTTGTGTCCGCCACGATATGTAGCTTGGCTATGGTCTGGTACAGTGTCCTCGAGACAGTTCATTGCGCCCGCCTCAACTGACGTGTCATTTGCTGCTTCCATTGGACAAAAAGATACGCCTTCTACCAGCTGTTTGTCCGCCTCGATCGCTTTCAGAGTGGAGCGAGGCTCCGCGTCCTCTTCATCACCCCGTCCCAGCAGCGGCAACACAAACGACGGCGGCAGATCCGAGCCGTCCATGCCCTCATCACCGAAGTGCACCTCGCTCTCAGTGCCGTCAAAAAGCGCGGCGGACGCGGTCGCCACTTCCCGCTCTTCGTCCGCGGTCGTCTCCATCGACCGGCGTACTACACAACTGTCCAAATCGATGTATAGTATACATATTAATGTGCCAACATAAGCATGCACGTATTTGGATATGACTAAATCTAGAATCAAGGATCTAGTCGCTGGCGACATGTTGACAGTTTCACTAAATCAATACTGCAATACAGCTGCTTCAATTCATCAATATAATTGTTTGTCATTAAATCGGGGAGCCATTATTTCAATAGCGTACAATATCGCAATACGTGCTCCGGGCCAGGTTGTTACCCATGACGGGCATGACAAGGTCGGTCAGTCCTGCTCCTTCTCTCATATCTACAGCACTATCTCTCTACTCTGTCTCTCACTGCGACTCACTTCGTCTTCGTTATTGTCTCCTGCATGTGTGTGTCATGTACGTGTGTGACAGAGTCGTGATCATTCAGGACGTCAATATCACGCAAAAGTATCAGGAACTTCTGCGTAAATTGACGTCCATGGGCGGCGAGAAGGTTGGAAGGCACGTCGTGCACTGCCGTCTATTCAACCGCAAGACGCTCACGGGTAAACAATAAGACAGACACAGAGACACACACACACATGCGAGAAAGGGAGCGATGTACCTATGCTCGTGGCGGGCGAGATACTGCAGAGTAGACTAAACGAGGGACGGGTGGTGTGGCTATGGCTGTTGCAGATGGCTACATCAACCAGCGCATGTTCATGCTGAGGATGTCACAGAACGACGACCTCGTGTACACGGTGCTGGCCAATGAAAAGGCGCACGGAGTAGCGGCCAGTGACAACGGGGTGGAAGGAATCATGGAGGACTGTTCGTTGCTCGAGTGCGGGCTGGACGGAGCCAATATCCTGCAGCAGGTGGAGATCTACGCTTTCAAGTCGGATGGCCAGTTTGAGGTGCAGTACCAGCAGAGCTTAGTCGTTGTTGCCGAGCTTAGTCGTTGTTGCAATGCTGACTGGAGGGATATCTTGTTTTGGTCTGGTGCTGTGCAGGGCACGCAGTACATCGTCGGGGACTTTCGAGTGAGCGTCTGTACGTTCATATCCCGTAACAACTTGCCGCGAGGACTCGTTGTTGAAGTGCAGTACGCGCCGTGCTACACGGTGTCCCATGTCGACATGCTGATTGACGAGTTCCTGAGCAACTTTGCCTCGCATGGTCAGTTGCGCAAACCCGTGGAAAACATGCTGGCGCTCTTTGAGAAAGCAGGGCTACCGAACAGTGAGTACAGTCTCAAGCACACGGCACTGCAGTACGTTGCCGCGTTCAATATTTTGCGCAAGTTTGAAAAGTAAGAGCGACGCGATGGCTTGTACTATGTCGAGCTCGGGCAAATGAAGACGGACAGTTCTTGCCCGTGTTGACGATCGAGTTTGATAAGAACGTAAGGTTCATGCATGGTGTAGATATGAGCTCGAGTACCGATGACGGGCCTAACAAGCACCGTCAGCTCCAGTATACAAGATGTCGGCGAGCTTCTACTGTCTACACGGTCAATAGCTAGTCGCAACAGCTCTCTCAACTATCTACGAGGAGGCATCGGGCATGGCACTGCCGCCGAGCATGGCCAACGGACTGGCACTAGATGTGCCTGGGGTCGAGCCGAGACATGTGCGAGCGACGTCGTCGAATACCTCCTTGATCTCGCTCGAGCACTCGAGGTAATCCTGTTCCCAGAACTTGTAGCTCTTGTTGCGAATCAGCTCGATAAATGTCACCAGCAAACCCCACGGGTGTGGACGGTTCGCAATGAGACGCTCGATAAGGACGCGCGTGATCTGCTCCTTGACCATCTTGTTCGTCGAGTACGAGAACAGGTACAGAATCACGCAGCTGAAGTAGTGCGTGTGACTGTTCGGGTAACGCAGGTGGTTCGCCAGCGAACTAAAGTACCAGTAGCGGCCCTCCGTGTCCAACTCGTCCGCCAAATAACGGAACACATCCATAGCCGCGCTCTGCTCGAACTTGCTAGTCGTCGTTGAAGCCCCAGATTTGCTACCAGCTCCAGACGACGTCGGTGACGGACTCGGAGGTGTAGGACTACCGTTGGCCATTTCTGCAATACCCTCTTTGCCAAGGTGCAGTACAAGCGCATTGAGCGTGGGCAGCGCGTACACGCAAGACGTCGGGTCACGCTCCAGCTGAGCAGCAGGGCGCATTAGCTTCGAAATGAGGTCTACCGGGAATACTGACGCACGGTTTGCCGTCGCGTGTAAGAACGCGTCGACATACTCCTTGATGCCATTGTGGGTGAGAGCGGCTCCCCAAGTCGGCATTAGCCGCGGGGCCATGCTCACTTCTGGAAGCTGAGCAACCTGCAGACCCAGGGTAAGCGGGTCAGGTAGCCGCACTGAGCGAGAAAACGCCGACAGAACTACATTGCGCAGCTGGATACACGCGGCTGGCAGCACGTCGCAAAAGCTCGTGTAGAAGTCGCTAAGGAAGTCTGGGTAGTCGTGAAGCAGTACCAAAATGATACGCACGACACCCTCGTAAAGCGTCGCAATCGAATCTGGTAGTGGCACAGCCGAGCTCGCACAGCGCAAGAACGGCTCGATGAACACGAGCAAATTCATCAGAAGCCGGTGTAGAATCTGCCAGCCACGCTGTTGTTTTGCACGAAGCAGCAATGGCATGAAGCAACGGTGTGAGATGAGCTCTGTCCAAGCAAACACGAAGCCTGGCAATCCCGATGGCTGCAGTGTATTGTACGCACTGGCAAACGTGTTGAGAACCTGAAGGTGGATCGTGTCCAGAGCTGGCTCTTGCGCCGTCAGCTCCTTCATGAGGTTGACGAACATGCGAAAGAACACGCGCTGGTCGAAGGTAGCCTTTTTCTTGCGTGACAGGTCGTGTGCCGCAACCAACACATTGGCAATCGCGCCAACTGCGTGGTTGAGTACCTGGAGCTTCGCAGCGGGCGAGGGGTCAAGAAATTTCACGAGTAGCGCCATCAAGTGCGTAAGTGCATCCGGTACCGCATAGTTCAGTGGAACCTTTGCGCCAGTCTTAGTTGCAGCAGGGTCACTAGCAGCGAACGAGCTCTTCAGGCACGCATCCACACACAGTTCCGTTCCAAACTTGAAAAAGAGTGATACGCTTTCGTCATCGGCAAGCAGCCCGTATTGCTTCAGCATCTGTAGGTACTGAGCATGCATCTTCGAGTTGCCATTGGGCTCCTTGTAGATGGCAATCCAGTGCTCCAAAGCATTGCTCACGGTGTGCCGGAAAGCAGCGTGCTCCTGCACCAGAGGTCGGTCCGCAGCAGCCTTCGCAGCAGCGCTCCCAATAGCACCCATACTCTTTTGCGGTACTGGTAGGCCTGGACGGGTCTGCGTCTTTTGTACACGCGCTTGTTCCAATAGTCCAGCAAGAATCTGCACATTCTTATTTGCTGCAGCACCCCCGTGGCGCTCTACAATGCGCGCTAGCGCTTCTAGCGTGTTCGAGAGGTGAGTAGCGACCGCAACATGATCCATCATCAGACACTGGCGGACAACGTGCACGGCAAACTCAATGGCCACGCTATTGCGTTCCATGTTTCGAGCAAGGTAGACGTCAAACTCACTTGCATCCACGACTTTGTAGCGGATAAGCGCCACGATAACTTCGCAATGCAGCTTCAGCTTGTCGTCCACTGGTGCGCGCAATACCCAACCCACAACCTCCTTGCGAAGCTTTTCACAGCTGCCAGTCAGCGCCTCCAACGAGCTTACAAGAATTTCCAAGAACAGCTCATTGCCTCGACCACCGTTGCCCAACTCGTACATGAACTTCACGATACGATTCGCGATCTTGAGACAAGCTTCATCACGCAGTGCTGGTCGCACACTCCCACCAAGTCCACGCACCTCCCGAAGAACTGCAAACACCTCGCTTTCTGCTGGAATTGCCAGCAGCAGCGGAAGCTCGCGCTGAGCGGCAGCAGCCTGGCGAACAACTTTCTGCACAAATAACTCAAAACGCTCCAGCAATCCAGCAAAACGATCCAACGCCGCCGTAACGCTCACACCAGCAGTGTCTCCTTCCTTCTCTACAGCAGCACCAGTATATGCACCAGCTCCTGTACGGGATGAAAGCGGCATGGAAGCAGGTCGTGGGATTCGCTGAAAGGCTTCGTAGACCACGAGTTGCATGGGCGAAATTCCGCCTGGTTTCGGCTTGAACACTTCGGGCAGAGCTGCCGGCCACTGTCCACTAGGGGCGCCTGGGGAACCGGCTGAAGCAGCGACTGCCGTGCTGCTTGCGCTGCCTTCGAAAAAATGTACGCCATCGCTTCCTGACGCTTTACCAGCCTGTGCTTGCTGCTGCTGGTAACGCCGGCGTGATGCATACGCCCCAGCAAGGGCTTCGTCAATGTCGCGCATAGCCTTCTCAGATGACGCTTTCTCGATGAGCATACAACCCAGGTCTGTGTTCTCGTTGGAGCACACCTGGATTACGTGTTCGCGTTGTTGCGGGTCGCCAGCACTGGCAGGTAGTAGCGCGCGGAGGTGCGTACCGATGGCATTGCGAAGCGGTTCCTTTGCTGTGATAAGTGCCAGCGATCCAGACATTGATGCTACCATCAAATGCGCCGCCTTGCGCATCTTCGTATCATCATACTCGGTAGCGAAGTCCTTCAAAATCACTTCCCGAGTAGTGATACATGCAATTGTGACACTGCGCTCCACCACAGGGGAAATCACTTCGCGAATGGCACGGTCTACGGCGAGGGGTACAAGACGACGTAAGTTTACATTGCGCAGCGGCAGCTCAGGGTTCACAGCAACATATGAGGCCAGGTTAGGAATAACCGTCGACTCAGCGGCCGTGGATACAGCGTTGCCTGCAGCAAATGGGCCACTGTTCACAGCCTCTCTTCTAGCCGGACTTTCAGCAGTTGTAAACCCATCGCCCGGCTTTTTCACTTGCCTTCCCGGTGTCAGGGGTCGACTCAGCTTTGCGCCCGACCCTGGAGGAGGCGTGGCAGATCGCTGCGCTATCGCCACATTCTTGGAGACCTTCACATTGAAATCAGGATTCGCTGTGGAAGGCGGTGTGCGACGCGTGTGCAACAGCTGCGCCTTGTGCTGATCCTCCACGTTGAGTTTGAACGACTTGAACAGAACTTCGATCTCGAATTTGAGGTTCAGCTTCAGGTCCGGCACGTCGTAGATCTCACTCATGGCATGAATAAGACCCATAACCCACGGGTTCGGCGGCTTAAAAATCTTCGACTTCTTGCAGCCTTCCAGTATTTTAGCAACGAAAGGTGTCACGGCAATGAGGTGACCCGTTTCATATCCCACGTACAGCAACTCTTTCAAATCCAAATCACGCTGCAGTAATGGCTTGTTTCGTGCAAGAGTAAAGACACCGAGCCAAGAGCCTACGTTTTTCAGCAACGAGCGTTGTTGCGAGTTGGTAGTGATTGTTCCCGAAGTAAGCAGCTTGCGTGCATTCTGAAGGGTACGTTTGAGAATCTCTTGCTCCAGCTCTGGTCGCACAAGCTTCTCGATGAAAATGAGGTAGACGGTGTGGTAATTAGGCTGTGTCGAGATGCGCTTTACCACTAAGTAGTTCGCTAGCCAAGCATGATAGGTGGGCAATAGCATCTTGCGCACCTCCGGAATTTTTGCTTCCAAATTGGATATCGACATGTTGTTCACGATAAAATGAATGCGGTCTTTCACGCTTTCGTCAGGCTGCTCCACAATTTCGTCCTCATCCACGTTACTTGACTCATGGAAAATGTGATCCACCTTCAACTCGGGAGCAGGAGCAGCAGGGGGTGGGGGTGAACTGGCTGGTGCCTTCTGTAGCGGAGAGGCCAATGATGGACCCGCTGACCGACTCAAGATCGACGATGGAATTTGAATACCCAACGCTGCATCGTCTTGAGGTTTCGCGCTTGACCCGCCGAGTGGCGGTGATCCACTACTAAATGGCGCAGCGCTACTATTTAGTCTCATCACTGCGCTTCCTTCGAACGTACTTCCGGATGGAGGTAGTGTGCTACCTAACGTAGACAGTGTAACGCCACTAGTAGCACCCCCATCCTGCCCTGGCAACGCGATTGTGCGAGTAACCTGGTTTACTTGACGCATGATTTCCGGCAAGGCATGCTGCAGATGCGGGATCTGCGAAAGATTTGTGCAATACGCTGGTAATTCGCGCAGCCGCGGAACAAACTGTTGCAGCGCGCAGGCGCCGAAGAAGAAAAACTTAGAATTTACAGGCTCACGGAGACTTTCAAGCACCGAACGCAACGCGGTCTGGAGAAAATTTGGCGGAAGCACCTGGTGCTCGATGAGTTTGCCGAAGAGGACACCGGTAATGCGTAACTCCATCTCCGGATAACGCGGGAAAAATCGATACTCGTCAAACAGATTGTGAATCATACAATAGAAGATTTGCCGTTCGCGTTCTTCGCGAGAACCTTGAAAGCGTTTCAGCATCGCCACGACATCGTTGATGTTCTGCTCCGACGTGTAGATCTGCTGGAAGTACGCGTTCGCCTGCTCCTCAATCATTTCTGCCGTATAAGACGGGGTTTCTCCACTGTTTGGAGCTGACTCACTGGCCGCCCCAGCGCCCACCTTTGCCGCGGTTCCTGCAGATGTAGCTGTCCCCAACGCTCCCGGAGCGTGCGAAATGACTGCTTCACCGGAAGGACGCGTAGATGCTGAGATAACGGGGTGGGCTTCCATACAAAGAGTAATGATGCGCTTGAGTTCTTGTGCTATTGCGACGGGTAGCACCTCCTGAACCGCCATGATGCACTTGAGTATCGTCGCCAGTGACTCAATGGATAGAACATGACTCGATTGCGGAGTGATACTGCTCTTCGGAACGGCGCGAGCGTAGTTGCGGTGCACGAAGGCAAGGCACGATGTCGCAAACGCCGTTCGCTGAGACGCAAGACGTTCCACCAGCCACGTCTCCAAGTTCAACACATCGTGATTGGCTCCCATTGTGGCAAGCGCCAAAGCAAACGAGAAGTAGTTTGAGTGGATAGCCGACGCAAAGGCGTCGCCTGTGTTTCGGAAGAGCGCGAATAGTCGCGAAACGATGTGCGGTGCCGTTGCAGCGTAAAAGCATTTCACGCTCGCGTATAGCACCAGCTTGGGCGCTACAGACCACAAATGACGCATGATAAGCGGTGCGTTGGGACGGCCCATAATATAAGAGCTAAATAACTCCGAAAACATGTCTTCACGCAGTGCATTCCATCGCGGCGAGGCCTGAGCCAAGTTGGCTATCAACACATCAGGACACGTCTTCATAGCTCCATCCAAAAGCTTACGCACATCGCCGTAACAGTCCTGCAACGACAACTGCAAAAGCGTCTCCACTATATCCAGTGAGAACCACACGCCATTCTTAGGGACTGCTGACGCATCAGCGCCTTCAAACGGTGCGAGCTTATGCGGCGATTCGGCGAATGAAAGCACTTCCGGTGGTGCCTCTACAGCTGCCCTTAGAATACCGATGTGCGCACGGCTGTTCTTCCACGGTCGCAGCAGTGTCGTCACGTGGAACTTCGTTTGCGAAAAGCGCTGGAATGCCGTAATCAGCACACGAAGCTGAGAAACGTTTTGTATGTTAAGGTCAGCTCGGTCCAACTTCTCCGCCACCTTCGTCCACTTGATAGAACCATAGTCTTTCTCCAGCACTTCTGCGATAACCTCAAGGTCCCAGCTTTCACGTACAGGCGTAGTAGCTGCCTCGTCCAACGGAGATGCCTCAAAGTCGATCGTCAAATTCGCGATCAGTGTGGCGCCATTTTGCGCGTCTAGACCAGTAAATGTTCGCGAGAGCATCGCCAGCATTCCCGCAACATGTGCTGGCGGGATCGTAGGCGACTTAGCAAGCCCAGCCTCAGCCAGGAGGGTACGGAAAGCTTGCGATGACGTCGTGCACGAGTATCCGACATCTTCCATCAGCTCGTAAAACAGGCAGCTCGAAGACACGTCCGATATGAGCTTGCTGAGTGCGTCCGGGTCCGTCACAGGATTGCAGTCCACATACTCGGGGTCGCCCATCGTAAGTGGGGCCATCTCCAGCGAGCCCATGTCGTTCGGGTGAGCCGACGAGATACTGGCAAGAAACGAGTCAGTCTCGGCAACATCTACGCGGAACTCCTTCTTCATACGCAACACAAAGACGAGCGAGTGGAGCACGTCCGAAGGCAGCTTGGCCCCACAGGACGAGATCTCGGGGATCTTGGCACGCAGAAAGTGGATGGCTTCGATAGAGCTCTTGGCGTTCTCACCCTGGGCGAACGCCAGACCGACTGTCACCTGCTGAGGGAGACTAAGCTTCAGCGCTTTGCAAAAGAGCTGCAAAAACTCTTCCGTCACATGGCGTTCGCCAGCATCCACAGCGTCCGACGCGTTTCCTTCGATCGCCTAGTGGAGTGTTACAAATAGTAAGCACAATAGTCGACGTCAGTATGACCAGCTCGAGGTACAGGGAGGGGGTTATAGAGGGATGAGAAAGATAAAGGGAAGGGTCGAGGCACCAACCTCGCAGATAAAAGTGGTGAAATTGGGGCGAGAAGACGCCTGAACGACCTCGTGCGTGAGCAACTGGATCTTCAGTGCGTCTTTCTGGCCACGAAAGTCAATGTCCTTGACGAGGCAGTTGAGCAGAAAGATCCGCGCGTCTTCGCCATAGAGTTCCACGAGCTGCCATGTCAACAGAAAAACAAGAACAGAGAAACGACACACCCACACCCACACTTAGTCAGTCAAAAAATAGGGCAACAGATTTGACAGCAACAAGGCAAAAGATCGACAGCGACGGTCGGTACCTGGTTGAGTTCCGCTACGTTGGACTTGAAGTTCTTCTTGTTGAGGTTTTTCACGAGGTAGTTGATCTGCCAGAACAGCGGCGACGCGAACGAGACCATCTCGAGCGTCACAAGCGAGTTCTAGACGGGTAGGGAAGAGAGTGCGCGACCAGGGGACGTGGAGGGCACGAGAGGGGAGAGGGGGGGGAGTGCCGGGCTTTTCTGGGCGGATCAATGGGGAGCTCGAGGAGCTACGAAACAAGGGGCGGTCGCGGATTGGCTGAAAAGACTCAAACGATGGCTCCTGATAGTCGCGACGGAACGGCGCTTTCTAATTGGTGGAAATGAGTCTTCCTTGACTTGACGAGCAAGCGAGGGACTTGAGCGGGCACTCATGACACCGGCGCACGTCGAGACGGCGGCGCCTGAGGCCAGCAACTTCTTCTTTGGCACAGTGCTGGGTCAGGGATCGTATGCCAAGGTATGTAGCGTCCATTCTGCCGCTTCTTTGAATTTCAGGAGGATATGTGAGACCTGCACGCGACGTACTCTCTCTCACACTCACACCGATTCGATGTGTTTTTAGGTGTTCCATGCACAGATGAAGACGAGCCGAGCAGACTTTGCTGTAAAAGTGATGGACCAAAGTTTCATCCGCAAGGAGAACAAGACGTCGTTCGTACTGACGGAGCGCAAGGTCATGTCGCGGCTCGCGCACCCGAACGTTGTCAAGTTTTACTGCAGTTTTCGTGTAAGCCAGTGACGACGCAATAGCCTTTGGGCAGCATCATTACTGCCTTGATGATGCTAGTGGTGGTGATGGATTCATATGTGACAGTTGCTGATTGTGTCTGTCGACTTTTTGCCTGTTACGGTGTCGCGGTCGATGCAATGTACAGGATCATCACAGCTTGTACTTGGTCATGGAGTTGTGTCGCGGCGGCGACTTTTTTGGCCTCATCATGTGCGTTTGTTTGATTGAGAGGAAATTAATGGGATATAATCGAAACGATGGTTGAATGTGCTTGGAACTGCTTGTTAGCAATGAGTATCAAAAGCATCAGCAAGAAGGGACCACAGACGCTGCATGCTCCTTGGAGTTGACGCAGTTTTATACAGCTGAGCTGACCAACGCTCTTGAGTACATCCACACGCAGGTATGCATCATTGTGATAGGATGCAGAACAGCGTGCTTGCTTTGTTCGTGCACAGCGTCCGCCTTCTGCGAAACTGCTCTAACGACAATTCCTTGCTGCAGCGCGTCATCCATCGCGACATCAAACCTGACAACCTGCTCCTCAGGTATGCACTGCATATCAGCGTGAGTGTCTTTGGTATGTCTTCGCATATTGTATGTCACATGTTAATCCTCTTTTATCGCGTGTCGCTTTTGTGTTGTTCAGTGCAGAAGGCCATTTGAAAGTGACTGATTTCGGCACTGCAAAGGTGAGACAGCGGAATTGTCCAGCAAACTGATCGCCTTGGTGCTGACTGACTGTTGGTACGATCATGCAAAGGACCAAAATGGCGAGAGTAGCGATGTGTGCCAATTTTGTGGGACTGCTTCTTACGTATCCCCGGAAGTTTTGCACGACGAGCCAGCTTCGAGGGCTGCTGACTTGTGGGCAATGGGCTGCTTGATCTTCCAGGTACAGTCGAACGCTTGAGGCTGAAAAGCTTTTGCAAAATCGATCTGACGACATTATCATGCACGTACGATAGATGTTTACTGGCCGAGCTCCATTTGTGGCAGAAAATGATTACCTGACTTTCCAAGTGGTGAGGCTGGTGCTCGATATGTGTTCGAATCTGGTGCTGCTCAAACTAATGCTGCATCCGCGCAGATTATAAATCACTCGAGCGATAGCTTCGAGTTCCCAAGCAGTGTTCCAGAAGTTGCCCAGGATCTGATCCGGAAGCTTCTTGTTCAGGTACCTCTCTTTGGAACAAAGCTGCGGATAGCTTTGCTGTTGCAAGCGATTGTGATGAACTGAGTTTTTGTGCCTCCGTCTTACGTTGTTGTTTTTCAGAATCCAGACGAACGCATCGGTGCCGCGCAGAACGAAGCGGGTTACGCTGCACTAAAGGTTGGATATGCTGCTCCGGTCATCAAAATGTGCTGCTTTTGACATCCCGTACGAGTGGTGATTGTGCAGAACCATGCATTTTTTGAAGGCATCGAGTGGGATGCTATTCGCGATCAAACTCCACCGTTCAGCCCTCCCAAGCTGGAGTTGTCTGAGCCGACGTTGGTAAGCTCACATTCGTGGACGAGCACACAAGTGCAACAATCTGACAATGTACGAAACGTTTGTGCACGTAACTAGGATGGCGCCTCGGACAACTGGACCGTTGCCGAATATTTTACAGGCGATTTTTCCGAAAGCGCGTCTACTGAATTCAGGTACCAAAGTGCTGTGTCATTGTTGTATGTGGCCGTTCATACCGCCTTCTTCTCACTATGACTGTATTTTACAGTTCCAAGCGTTCGCGAAGTAACAGCTCAGTTCAAAGAAACCGGCCACCTTGTATCGGGTACAGTGAGCAGATCCGTTTTGAATCAACGGTGAAAATTCGCTCCAAGATGTTCAGTCGCACTCGAGATGTAAGTGCCTAGCTTCAATAGCAGCCACTATCGTGGCGCTCATCTTCTTTCTTGTTGCAACAGCTTTATCTCACAGATGCCCCACGTCTGGTCGTGGCCAGCTCTTGGTCCGGACGCTGTAAGCGCGAGATGTTCCTGACACCAGAAACAAGTGTGAAGGAGATTGACCCTCACACGTTCGACGTCGAATCGGTGCGTACACGGAGGAGAAATTGTACTTGTCATGGTACGTTGCAAGATTTGTTAGAGGGTGTGAGCTCACGCTGCATTTTCTGCACTTGAAAGCGGTCCGATACGATCCGGATCAGAGACTGCAGTCATCTCGCTCATCAGTGGGCGCGTGCTATCTCAGAGGCTGTGTCTGAATAGCACCTGCACGCGATGTACGGGACGCTTGACGATACAAGTAAGTAGTAGAATCGGGTTCAAGTGAGACGGCACACAATTACGTCTGACCCTTTTACAAAATGGCCATTGTTGTGAGTAGTCAGCAACTTTACCGGCGGAACAAGACAAATTCATTTAAGCGTTTAAACATGAGTATACTTTTGGAGCTCCCTCGACAAGCTCTGTGATAATGTCGTAGCTAACTGACCAACTCGCCAAGCCTCGGATGGATTGTCTCTCACACTATTTGAAACGTTTAGCGCACATTACATTCCGGCATCCTGTAACACACGGAAGACCGATTGTAATCTACCGGTTTTTCCTTTTTTGGTCTCAGTAACGGTATTCGGTCGGATCTAGTGTGCCAAACGCTACAACTGGCAGCGAGTTATTTATGTACTCATCATGTGGCACACACCTCATCACTTCGATACGCTTAACTTTGCTCGAGGTGGGACTCATGCCGCCGACTGCAGAGGCCAGTGTGACTGATCTACTGAAGCATCTGCGCTTCCACATCTGCCATGACATCAGGAGCAATCTGCGGCACCTTTCGCCGATCTATCAGCGTCTTCTAAGCCCTGTGCGCCTCGCTACCGACTAATTTGTCCCTGTCAAGACTAACAAAAGTCCTGTGTATGTCAGAATGAAGGCTCTAGCAACTTGGTGCATCGTAAGCTACTGGGCGTTCGCACCAAGCTTTTATCGTGCAGTCCACTTCCACTCGTGTACGTGACTTGGAGTCTTTGATGGACCCTCGAGACCGATAGTTGCTCTCTTTTTCGCTCTCTCTCTGTAGATTGAATGTTGTTGGCCGCATGGATCAACTTGTTGAGCGCTGCTTGAATCTTGAAGATCAGCAAGACAAGCAGCAGTGTAGAGAAGGTGCAGGTCAGATAGAAGCGAGCTATGGCGGTGGTTTTGAGGCGAGAGACGGGCTGACGTGTTCGGGTGGATTTATTTTGGCTATTGTACAGTTTCAATCAGCGAAGTGATGCGTCTGCTGGTAGCCTTAGCAGGTGGAGACAATGGAGAGACGTTTGTGCTTGAAGACCCCATGCAGGTGGCGAACAGACTATCGAGTTGAGATTTTTTCTGTGATCTGGGTTGTCACTCATCACGACATTGACGACACTGATGCGTCGTATGTGTCAACCGAAAGGTCTATGCAACTGGGAAGAAGCGAATCGGCGACTGTATCCGAATGAGTGATATCAAGATGGTGCAGTGCGCCAACGCGCTTTTCAGTAAGCCACCAGCGTCACTAGATGAGAACGTGTGAGTCGTGTCGGAAAGTGCCACTTGTGACCACTTAACTGATGAGGCCCGATTTCTTCGTATGTAGACTTTTCTCGCAAAACTTGTTCGATAAATTTGGCTATGGCATATCGGACCAACATACCAGCCTGTGGTGCCCCGGCTCAAGTGTTCTTGAGGACAAAGGACTTCTTGACATGATGCCATCTCAGCAGGTATGCTGGGAAGTCAGCATTTACAGCGCAGAATGATGGCAAGGGAGACTAACGATTGTGCCGTTCCACCTGTTGCATGTAGCGCGATCGTTTCTTTGGCCTTCCTGGCGCTCCACCAGCTCAGAACAGTATTGACAGCGATTTGATGCAAACGTAAGCTGTTACTCGTGTATCGTGCCCGATCCTGACTAATGCACTGGGTATCGTATCCGCCAACTGCAACTGTAGGCGTGACTCGACATCCGTTAAGCCTGTGGGGTGCACGACAGGTCTGCCGCCTACGAACGAAGTGTTTTTCTTTGACAGCACCCAGGAGGTTCACTGCGGATGGTTAGTACAACCTGCAGACTGGGGAAGTGCGACCGAGACTTCGTCGTCGTACTCAGATAACTCACTTGATTCAGCTGAGACCTGGATAGCACGGACCTACGCGTGGGAGGATCTCGGAGATCGGACGGGATTATCGGAAGGTTACTGCAGGCCATCGAGTTGCAATGGAACATGGTCACTGCGTGATCTGGAAATTCCAAATGAGTTTGTCGGCAAGTGTTGTGCTGATGAAAAAATGCTGGAAATTCATGAAGTAGACCTCGTTGAGGTGAGTTAAGCAAGTGAGTGATATAGTGGAGACGTCGCTCACAACGTGTCGTCGTCCGAAGGATTTATTGCGAGCATTGAGTGGCATCGACTCGACAATCCTCCGTCGACACTTTCAGTCCGCGACTTTCCAGTTGCCTGGAAAGCACATCCTAAAGCTCCGCAACGCCACCGTATCGTCTACACTATCTGTTCTAGAGGTATGACGTGTCGAAACAAATTTGCTACGCATGTTCATGTAATCTTACTAACCCTATGGCAGGTGTTTCGTAAAGCAGGCACCGTAGTCATGCGAATCGAACTGCTAGCCATCTATTATTCTCAGGATCCTGCGAGGGGAGGAAAAACGCTTCAGGCAATGGGAGATGCCCTCCAGGTATATCTGTCAACGCACCGGGTGAGTAGGTGTTGGGTTATGAAAGCTATTGATGGCATGCAGTGACACCTATCTTACAACCGACACTTTTGTTTTTGCTAGACCTTAGTGGAAAGCATAGCACAAGACTGCCTGGTCTCGTCTGAAGTAGTATCGGTCGCGAAGCTTCTAAGCAAGACTAGCAAGATGTGCCGCTCCTTAGCAAGTATCGGGCACGTGTTTGGCTGCGACGACGACGTGTTCTGGCCGTTGCTGCAGCAAGGTGTGTGGATAAGCTGTCAGTTCCAAGCGACGGTCGTTGAGTTTGTTGAACCTCATGTCGCCCAATATCATAGGTACATTTCCTCGAGGGGTTGCACTCCTCGACCACTTGCACCTCCATGTGTCTTCCCTATGTGTGGAAGACGCCTTAGGACACGTACGCGAGTTGGTGACCTGGTTTCTCGTCAAAGCCTGTTCTCCGCTGCTGGCTGTGCTTTCTGACCTCATCTCGTCAGGGAAGGTTGACCAAATGACGGATCTGTTCGTACGTCTTTCATATTGCGTGCAATCTGTGACAGGAGGTTCGATTGACATTAGTCGTCTTGGTGTGCTCGTCAGGATGAGTTCGATGTTACGACGTGGAGCAGACGCTCGCTGGAAAAAGCCATTGCACGAGGAGGGGACGGACTGTTTAGCGATGAACTAACGAGCGAGGCTGTCCAGACACTACCGGCGTTCCTGGAGAATATTGCGCCCTCCATTGTCCACCTTTGCCAGATCCAAGCACTCTTACGGAGCGTAAATGTCATTTCTTCGACCCACCCGCTGGTAAGCTTCTCGGCTCATGGTCTATTATTTTGTTGTGTGTGACTACTAACATGTTTCGCGTCACTTCGTCAGGTTAATATGCAACCCCTTGTCTTCATTTCCAGCAGCAGCAACGCTACTGAGCACGCGGAGAAGTGGCAATCAGTCATGGACAAAACAATGCCATTTCGAGAAGACGTTGGTATCCCACATGCAGTCAGAATGGAATCTCACAAGGACATGTCGGATGTAACGCTTGCTGCAGCTGAAGAATTACTGGAACAAAGCATTGATGTAGGTGTATCGATCAGATGTGGACTCTTCCCTAGCGTGAATACTGACCGCTTCACATTGGCATGGTATATCTAGATCGAAGCTCGACGCTCCCAGTCGCAGCGAACAAGTATGCTGGACGAGCAAATGTTGGAAGTGAAGCAAGGGCGTTTCCGATTAGCGCAGGAGAAGAAAGCTAATGATGTGGGGCTAGTCGAGAGCGAATCAGATGCGGACAAGGAGGCCGACGTTCGTGAGGTTTGTCTTAATAGGTATGTTACCGTCGAATATCTCGGCACGATTTTAGCCTGGTTGCTTGTAGTCGATACTTTGCACTGATGAGTGGTGTGCGATTGATTCGTGAACGGCAGCGGCATATGGAACCGATCGGCGATCAATCCCACGAACACTGCGGTGGAAGCAAATGATGAAACAGGCGCGCGTTCGCGTGCTTCCAGTGGTGACGAAGACGCGATGACTTCTCGAATGAGATCCACGGATGGCGGCTTCTGGCTGGCTTCTGTAAAACCAAATATGGTACAGGAAAACTGTAGCGTCAATTCAGCTGATGGTGGTGTTCAAGGCGAAAGCATCCCGGTGAATGATGAAGTCAATTGTGCAGCGGTAAGCGCGGCAGAAGGTGTCGAGATGGTGTTGAGCGATCGACCAGTGGATCAAACAGGTAATTCACCGTCGGAAGATCCACCGCTAGAAGACCACGTTAGTGAAGCCCATCGACAGCAAAACGCGGGAGGCGAGTGGGACGATAAGCCCTCATTGAACGCGAGCGAGTTTATGGAGAAGGTTGCTGTAAACGCAACACGAGCATCACTCCCTCAGGTGCACCCATTCTTTTCGACTACTGTTCCCCAGGACGACATCGAGGTGTTGACACGTGCATCGTCACCTGAGGTACGCGATAGCGTGTGTGAGCTACTGTTCTGAATACCTCCCTATGTATTCGTTCGAGCTGATCGCCTTCTGTCCGTCTGACTCATAGGATACTTCTGAGGCCAATTTTACTTCATTTTCGTCGATTGTCAGCTGTTGCGTGGAGATACCCGTCCGTCTGGTTGCCCATAAACTGGAACAGGTGGCAGTGAGTTGGTTTCGCGATTCGTTGCAGGTGCTTGAGCACCTCCGTTGGCTACGTAAGTTGATGCTCATGTCAGAAGGCCTCTGCATGGATATCTTCGCACGCGACTTTCTTGTTGGTTTAAACCCAACCACGCGCGTGAACTGGGGGGTCGAAGACCGTCTCTCATCAGCTCTCGCTCTTGCAATGATTGAGGGCTGCGTGTCAATGGATGCCATGGCACAGAATTTCCGTTACACGTCTACCCCAGCTCTATCCCAATGTAAGCAAGCGCCTAACAGGATCTGTAATTGTGCTTGCAACTTATGGCTTCTCACCGTCGTAATTGTGTGCTGTGCACAGTATTGAGTAGTCCGACCATGGCTCCTGCTGTGACCCGTTTACTCAGTGAGATCGAGTTAGTCTACGATGTTAACTGGCCACTGGGTTCCGTGATCACCACCCGCTCGCTAAATGACTACAAGCAAATGCACCAGTTCCTTCTCCACGTGAGACTGACATCCGTGGAAATGAAAGAAGCGTGGATGATTCTACGCTCCGTCCGCCAGCAGCTGTCATTAGCACTCGAGCGATTCTGCGCAAATGCGGTCTACAGAATGCAGGTTTTTCTCCATGTATTTCACGAGGCTTTTGCAACAAAGGTTCGTGCAAGTTTCGACGCTATGGGCCGTCATCCTATTCAAGCTGCTTACACTGCGGTAATCTCGTCTTCATTTTGTTCAGGTGATCATGACAGCATGGACAGAGCTCGAGCGGTTGTTACAGAAAGCAACGACTCTGGTTGATCTCCGCCGCTGCCATGAAGAATATGTATCCATTGCATATCACTGCTGTTTCCTGGACACGCCTGCCGTCGAGGTACGTGAAGCTTTGCTATGCTGAGTCTATTCCACTGACAGCGCTGGACGTGTATGGCAGATTCGCTCGGCTCTATCTGCCGCTTTTGCAGCAGCCTGGAAGTTGACAACATTCCTGCGTGGTTTGAAGCGACAAATGCCAGGAAGAGCTTCAGTGGAGACTCCCCTGCGCGCACTATGTGATGATCTCGACACCACTCTCGAAACACTGGTCGGCAGTCTGCGCAACGTCGCTCGAAATGCAGAACAGAACACGCGGGAGTTTTCAGAAGTACGTGAGTTGTTACACCCTTTTTATAAGTACCGGTCCACGCTTGGAGTCACGTTGACCAAAAAGTAAATAATGGATCGGCTATCGCTCTAATGTGCTGACACCTGCGCTTTGTCTTGCTGCGTCACAGTGCCTTCTGCTCCGGGTCGACTTCAACCAGTATTACTCCACACGTACCCCAGTCGCCGACAGCAGCTGCAACAGCACCAGCGTAGCAGACTAGCCCCAGGAGCTAAAAAGACAGTAGGCGCAGAGTCGTAGTACCCACCAAACTGACAATCAACAAGACACGCGTCTGGCATGAGTCCGATACCCGACATTAAAAAAATAGTGGATGCGTGTCCTTGAGATGCAGACGACGCTGGCACAATGGGCACTTGCCGCTCGCGCGGATCGCTTGGCATATACAGCCCGCGCAAAAGATGTGGCCACAGACTGTGGACGTAATGTCTTCCAGCACGTCGAGACAAATGGCGCACTTGAGTAAATGCTTGAACTCCTCCACCGCCTCGTTGTTCTGCATACCGACGTTAGTACACTCGGCACTCCGCATCATTGCAGTCACACACGGCCGTTTCGGTCCCTTGACAGCACCTCTACACGTAGCAGCACCTGGTAGACGTCGCTTCCGTCGCGGCTGCGACGTACTCACTGTCACTGATGACATGGGGCTGTGAATCTCAATCACGTCGTCGTTCTCTCCTGCATTCGGTTCACCCCCTTCGTCTTCCGACGACGAGACCGTGAGATCAATTTCTTCCAGTGGACGCGACCGCTCCCCAGTCGCGTCCTGGACGTCCTGGAGTTGCATCAGACGAGGTAGCACAAAGCGCTCGTGGGTCTCGCACTCCCCGTCGTCGCCCTGTGCGAGCAGATTCGTATCAAGTGGCGTCGAGCTGCTGGTCGATGAGCTCGGACCGCTCCTTCGATTCCGATTGGCTCTCGCGATACTTTCGTGATTAGGGGTCGACGAGATGCTGTCAACAGACGAGCCAAAGTGCGAGGCCAAAAACGTGCGCGGTAAAGTCATAAAGTGGTTCAAAGGAGGGAGCGTCCAGCCGCCTGAGCCTGGAGGGGGCGACGAAATGCCGACAGTAGACGGACGCAACCGTCCACGGCTACTGAGGCTGCTGCTGGTGATCGCTGGCGGCGCCTGGGCGTGGGTCGCCGACGATCGAGTCAGCGGAGCTACCACCACGTCCGGCCGTCGCATCTTATTCGACTATGAGCTCCTCGACGGCCTGCATTTTTTAGAACGTCGTCTTATTGGCTGAAATGGTTCGTCGACAACATGCTTGCAGCTGATTGGAAGATAAGTCGCAGCGACCGTGCGACTTGACTAGACAGTCGATGATGGCAGCTGCCCCGCACGAGCTCGTGCTTCAGGGCTATTTACACAAGCAGGTACGGCGCTCGTTCGCTCACTTGCTTCTTCTTCTGCTATTGATCATTGCCTGTATGTTGCTGACGTTGTGCTGTATGGTGCAGAGCAAGCACTTGAAGATCTGGCGCATTCGCTACTTTATGCTTACAAAGGCGAGGAAGACGCCGCTTTGTTTGTTTCTTGACAGCGCGACGCCTGTCATGGGCTACTTTTCGCTGCTTAGAGATGTGGTGCAGTGACGTGTGAATTGCTGAAGCTGCTATTGTGTGTGGGTGGGGGCTTTTGTGTTGGCAGAATGAGATCACGTACTCTACTAAATCTGGCCGCAAGCCACGATTGCTGCTGTCGCTCGGACACGTCCAAGTGGTGCGTCATGCGTGTCAGCAATTTCTTGTCGTTATTTTGTTACAACTGGTGCTAGTAATGGACGAGAGGTTGACGTTGTGACTTTTTGCGGTCTAGCGTAGATTGACGACCAGAACCGCGTGCGTCATGCTGGCAACTTTGTCTTTGTGCTGCAGACATCAAAAAGGAAGTTGTTCTTGAGTGCGACGACAGAACAGGAGCGGCGCCACTGGGTGACGGAGATCCGCCGACTTCTATCAAGAGCCGAGGAATCAGCTGTTGCTGGCTGGAATCCGTCTGGCGCATCGAAAACCCCACTTTTGGCAACAAATAGCATGTCGAATCGCTGGATGAATTCACACAGACGCGCATCGAAAGAGCGGCGTGCAGAGAGGCGGCGTCAACAGCTTCCTAAGCTGAGGCGCACGTACACTGAGGTATGGCGGGACGAGGTACTTCCGCTGCCGAGCGGTGGAACACGTGACGACGTACCGCTGCTTCACGCTCTGTGTTTTGCAGGCATTCCCAAGGAATTACGCGGCCGTGCTTGGGCTTGGATACTTGGAAACACACTACAAGTCAACGAAGATCTGTTCAAAATCTGCAAGGCTCGAGCTCAGGCTGTGCTGATGGAAATGTCGTTGAAGCGAAATGTGGATCATTCAATGATTGAGACGCCGACGGTTAGCCCAGGTGATGCAAGCATCATTTTAGAGTCGCCAGTAAGGAGCGATTCTAATGTGAGCAGCGCTTCGTCTGCCTCTGGCACCACAGTGGAAGACGTGGAGGCGTCACTGGTCATTGACGACTCTGAGACGTCGCAAGTCACTGACGATACTGCTTCGGCTGCAGGGGATGCGCCAACAGTGAGAGACCCGCTGTTGATTGGTATCAGCGATCAGAAACGAGCCCGTCGATCGTCTACCGTGCTTCCCGTGCAGAATATGTTGCATGATGCCGTTGGCATTGCGGAGATGCTTGTCGCGCATGGCGAGCGTAGCATCAAGCTGGTCAATGTCGACATGCCACGTACATTTGGCCACCACCCGCTATTTCAGCCTGGCGCGGAGGGTACCGAGCGCACAACTGAAGTACTGGAGGCCTACATTTGCTATCGACCTGACTTGGGTTATGTGCAGGGTATGAGCTACTTGGCGGCCACTCTGTGCTTTCATATGGACAGCTTCACTGCTTTTAAGGCGTTGGTCGCCCTGATGAGTTCAAGTTTGCTTTTCGACATGTTTCGTCTTGAAGCAACGCGGGTATGCGACGTGTGGGACACATTCATACGATCGGATGTGGTGCATAGGGTGAGGCTTGACTGACGATGCCGTTTTGGCTGTTGTTTGTATTGCTAGACATTTCATTATATCGACGTGTACAACCAGATTTTACAATACGAACTGCCAGCTTTAGCGGCACACTTTCAAGAGACCGGTATTGATGCACAAATGTATGCTGTGGACTGGTACGTGATTGTCGTGTCAGTCGACTGTGGCATTCCAGCTCACGGTGAGATGTTGTTGTGCTTGTGGTGTAGGGCACTGACACTGTTTACCCGGAGTTTACCACTAGACCTCGCATTGCGTGTCTGGGATGTCTACGTGCTTTTGGGCTCGCCATTCTTTTTCCAGGCTAGTATGGGTAAGCTGATCTGCCCTGCGTCATGTAGAAGGTTTTGCTATAAATGTGACTAACGCGTGTGGTGGTTATCTGCAGGTTTGTTGTCGCTTTTCCAGGACTCACTGTTGGCAATGGAAGTACAAGACATGATGCGGCTGTTGCACAATTTCCCAAGAACCACATCATCGCAGGAGCTGTTTGCGGCCATTTCGTCCGTGAGTCTCTCTTGTCGAGAAATCACGGATTTGCTGGCTGGTGGGAAGCTTTGGTCACCCGACGAGGTTCGGCAGGTACCTGTGAAGTATCCCGACACTTACGACTGAATGAGGTCATACACAAAAGAAAAACGCAAGCATGTAACCATAAACGTTTTTATTCTCAAAAGCTGACGACTTTTGCTTATTTCCCCCTGTGAAATCCATCACTTCGTTTCAACGACATTTTAATCGACATTTGTAGTCACCGGCTGATATCAACGTGTGCTGACACGTCGTTTAAACGTGTAAAACACGTTGATATCAGTCGTTGATACCGTCTTTTTCGTCCGACTTTTGCCGTCGCATAGAATTCCAGCCAGCCAGCCACGCTTGTCAAACTTGCTCCACTCCACTCCACCGACCCCACCCCTTTGCACGACCATGGCAACAAGACGCGGCAGTAAACCGAGCGTGTTCACGGCCTTCAACCAGCTGCGTGTGGCCGAGGACGTGGATTCGGACGACGGTAGCGAAGAGGAGCGACAGCAGGAGCGCAAGGAGAAGCAGAAGCTCAAGAAGAAGTCGCGCTCGAAGAAGAAGAACAGGCACGTGCTTTGAATCAAGAGGGAGCTGTTTTTACTGGTTTTGCTGTTGATATTGTTGCTGAAACTGTTGTTATTATTGGTTTTTTGTATTGCTGACGGTGGTTTGGTAAACAACTGCAGTGACTCGGCACAGCTCAAGGACTTGGCGTTCGTGTCGGTGTCAAAGCCCAAGAAGAGCAAGAGCAAGAAGAAGACAGAGACGACGTCGCGGTCCCAGTCGCCCACTAATTTGCCAGTTGATGAGACGCAGACTGCGAGTGGTGACGATGAGGAGAAGAAGCACGAGGAAGAGGCTCCACGACCGCTGGGTCAGGTGATTCAGGTAACTGCTGCTATGGTGGAGTGTTAAAAGGTTGATGAGGGAATGAGGGAGGCTGATAGTTGACTGGTGCCTTGTTTTCGATACGTTTGATCAGACTCCAGCAGAGCTGAATGGTGTGAAGAAGAAGCCTCAGTCGGCGTCACAACAGCAGCAGCAGCAGAAGAAAAAGGTGGGACTGTTGAGCTTGTATAGCGAGGTATGAGCCGAACCTCATGGCTTGTTCTGCGTTGGTGCACACACTGTAGACTACGTCTCCCCGTGAACAGCCACTGCAGCTTCAGCCTCAGCTTCATCCCCCGCCTCTGCAGCACGTGCCGCCTCCGGCACCTGTTGTTGTTTCGCCAATAGTGTGCACTCCTCAGTCTTCGTCAGAGACGGAGCTAGGCGCCGTGTACACACCGTCGCACATCACGATCACACGCGTGGATGGCCAGATGAAGCGCACGGTGGCGGTGACAGATGTGATGGACCAGCTCCTTCGCTACACGCAGCAAAATTCACAGCTTCTACTAGTGCAGGAGCAGCTGGGCGTACGTTTGTCACTGGACGTGCCGCGATCGACGACTTGTAACTGTTGACCTGACATCCTGCGTCGTATATGTATTCCTGCGTTCGTTTCGCGACGGCCTTGTGATTGCTAGCACGCGAATCGTAGTCTGCAGGACCAGTTGCAACGACGTGACGGTATGTGGCTCTGTCTTGACTTAACTCGTCGTGTGGTCGACGGCGCGCGATGGCTTCGTACCACATGGCTGACCAGCGTCTTTACTGATTGACACGTGTATGGTTTGATATCGTTCGTGTTGACACTATTCTCAGAGATTATCACGGGCCTGCAGCATGAGGTGACGATGTTTCGGCAGATGTGTCTGAACTTGCAAGCCGAGGTAAGTCACGCGTGATCGATCGATCGATGGATCATCCTCATTAACGCATCGCTGCCAGCTTCGAGTCTGCCAGTCTTGTGTAGTTTATGCGCAGCAGTTGAAGGCAAGTTGTGACGTGTAACCATGTGGCTCACTTCTCTGCTGTCCGTATGAATGATGTATGTCAGGTGTCGCTGCTTCGTTCCAGCGTCCCACCGAATATTGGCAGCAATGGTCCCCCGCAACATCGTCCCCCGCCAGGCATGTCTTGAGCTCGTGGACGACTAGACCAAGTGTAGCAACTAGACGGGTGCCAACCAAAACAGCCACGAATAAGGCCAACCACGTAACGCCCGTACTCGCAATAGAAGTCCGTTAGTGGTCCGAAGCAGCTTTCACCCTCCTCAACGGATCAATCTCTTCCAAATCTATTCGCAAGAAAACGTCCCATCACCATCACCACCACCACCGCCGCTAAAATGTCAAGAGAACGCACCCAATTACGGCGGAGCAGTAATCAATCCGTCCATCGTCCGATCGTCCGGGCGACGAAACGGTCCATTCCAGCGGCTGGCAAAACGACTTTAGACAGTCTTGAAAACACCATCGAGTCCAGGCAGATTGCTCTACCGACAAGAATAACATTGCAGCCTACTTGTACTGCCTCCAAGCTCCTGAACTGTCCAACTGAAGGTAGTAGTATCCAACTACCAACTTGCGCGTTCAAATACGTCGTACACATGCGCCTCTTTGTGTCGCACATCCACGAGTAGACAGCAGGTCCTGGCGACTTTCGTTTCCCCACCACCTGTTCGCAACTCCGAGCTCGTATATGTCAACGTCTGGTACTTCTTGCTGGTCACCACCGTCCGCTCTCTTCATCTCTCTCTCTCTCTTTCTCTTTCTCTCTCTCTCTCTCTCTCTCTCTCTCTCTCTCACTTCTCCTCATTTGCTCTTCCTCTGTCCTCGTGACAAGCTCGAGGTGTCCTTCTTCTGCCGCTTTCTTCCACCTCCAGCTCCAGTTCTGGCACCATGGTTGGCACGATGCACCGACTGAAGAACAAGCTGCGGCTGCACAAGAAGGACGGCACGTGGGACCTCGACGAAGACTCGATGCGTCTCAAGCAGAACCAGGACCACGTCGTGCGTCTCGACCGCAGCGGGACGTTAACGGACACGGTCAACGAGACGGACGACGTCGAGGAGATGTTCTACAGTAGCACGCAGACCCGGTCAACGAACGGACCACCGCAGTACCGCTCGACGGAGCAGCTCCCGGGCAGACTCTTGACGCTCACGTCGTTGAACGAAGACGCCGAGACGCCATCGGGCGGCAGCAATGCCAGCAGTAGCTTCTCGCAATTCAGTGACCACGCGACGTCCATCTCGAGCGTCAACTTGACCAGCACGTACCATCACCTCACCACCTCTGCCTCAATGGTGTCGCACCCCCGCGCGGTCGGTGGCGCCTCCTCCGAGCTCGAGCAGCTCCGGTTCGAGCTCATTGAGGTCAAGCAAGAGGTCGCTGCTATTCGACAGCACGTCGTGAATGAGCTGCACGTGACCCGCTACGACGTGCTCAAGGAACTAGCACTGCTTAAGGGTGCAATCGCACAGGTGACAGGGACGTTCCCACCGCCGACCGCGTCCGTGCCGTTGTCGATCCAGCGCTCGGTGTCCAACCCGCTGTCAAGTGCCGACCGCGGGGCGCTGACGCGTCAGACGTCGACATTGACGTCGTCGGCTACGCGCAACCGCCTTGCAGCCTCCCGGGTGAACACTTACAAGCCGCCGCCTCCTGCAGCCCGAGCGAGTGTCCGCCTGACGCAGTTGTCTCCAGTTGCAGACAGTGCGCTGTCGACGCCGTTGAGCTCCGTGCAGATGAACGATCTGTTCCCGCTCATTGACTTCACGACGGAGCTGGCTGCCCGTGCTCGCAGGTTGACTCCTGGCTCGCGGACGTGGGCTCTCACTCGAGCGGAAGCGTGGCTGGAGTCCCGGTTCAATGCCGGCACGGACTCTTTGCTGGCGGTCGTGGGCGAAGGCGGCAGCGGCAAAAGCGCCTTCTGCGGCACGGTCGCCCAGCAATATCGAGGTCAGCTCGTGGCTGCCCATTGCTGCCAATTTGACCGCAAGGGCAAGAGCAGTCCACGCAACGTGCTGCTGTCGGTTGTGCATCAGCTCGTGGTTAATTTGCCGCTGTTCAAGAACCAACTCGCGCGGCTGAACCTCAAGTACGTGCTGGAGGAAGCTGATCCCGTGCTCCTGGCGTCCAAGGTGCTCGTGGATCCATTGAATGCGCTCGAGGATCCCGTGGACGTGGCGTTCATGCTCGTGGACGGCATCGACCAGTGTAATGTGGGACCGGCTGGTCGCAATGAACTGCTGGAGTTCCTCGCCCAGCTCATTCCGCAGCTCCCGTCGTGGCTTGGGGTGATGGTCTCGTCCAAGCCATCATCTAAGCTAGCCAAGCGGCTTCCCGTGTCATCGGTGCTGGACTTCAGTGCCAAGAATGAGGCCTTCGTGGCCGACGTGTCGTCTCTTGTCGACGAGATTGTCTGCCATTTCAAGCGCGAAGACGTCGAGGAAGCAAAGGAGGTGCTCAAGCACAAGAGTGGAGGGAACTTTGCCTACTTGGAGTTCACCAAGCAGGCGTTGTCAGGCATGGCGTCGGTCAGCAAAGAAGGCGTCGTCGCTATCGACGTTCTGCGTGAACTACCAGAGACGCTGTACGACATTTATGCAGAGATTTTCGAGGACAAGTTTGGTCACGGTCGAGCCCGTGTGTGGAGTAAAGCCAAGCAGGTCCTGCAGCTCGCGATCGGAGCAACTGCAGGCCCGTACTCCCCCGTGACGGAAGAGCAAGCGCAAGAGCACTTTCGACTCACGACGGAAGATCTGCGGTTGCTACGTCGGTCATTCGTAGACCTCGTGGCAGTCAAGCACGGCAGCTACCGCATTGAGAACTCGGCCTTGTGTGCCTGGTTGTGCGATCCGGCTCGAGCAGAAGAGCAGTTCTACTTTAGTATTGACGACGCGCTCCAGGCGTTGCGCAAGATGCGTCGTGCTAGTGCTAGTGCCAGTTCCGGCCAGTTGACCTCAAGCGGCTCATCGAACGGCAGTGCGCCGGGACGGTCACAGTCACCTCAAAAGACACAAACGGAGTCGGACTGCCAACCCGTGAGCATTCTCAAGCGTGGCCGAATGTAAACTATGTCGAAGTAAAGCGTTGGCGTGTGTTTGTCCATTCGTTGGTTGGTTCATCGTGGATTCTTGTTGACTCAATAGCTGTCATTGCAGGTTGTCAAGTCTATGCCTTGTAGTGCTACCGGTGGTCACCTCCGAATCGACAGTACCGCAGCACCTTTGGTCAGCCTGAGTGTTGTATGTCGCCCACCCCAGCGAACTCGCATCAACGGGACAAAGTTGTGCTCGTAGGTCCTCTTCGCACTTCCTGATTCCTTTACGCAGTTTGTGAAATCGGGGGGGGGGTCCTGCATTGCAGCTTCATCTGACTTGTGATAGTTGTAAGCTGCACGCATCAAGCAACTTGTTGAAGTCATGAAGTTTACTCGTCCTCCTTATCGCAGCCTCGTCTTCGTTCGTACTGATCATGAAGCAAAGTTGTCGTCTCCTAACGACATATATACACTCCATTCTGGAGAGCAGCACGTGTCTGTAGTTACACTCGGCTAGAAGGTCTCTGCAGTACATTCCGTCCTCCTGCATTGTCGACAAGCTATATCGATGTGATCACAGCCCGCGTAATTGAACACCCCAGAGCACTTTCACATCACCGCAGGTTATGGATCAACTCTATTCGTAAGGTCCACCTACCTCAACGACCCGGTCAGCCTACTCAGACTTGGACCGTATACTCCGCAAGAGCCATCCCCATTCCAGCGCAATCTCTGCGTCAATACTCGATTCGCACTCCTAGCCCCCTGTATTCTTCTTTTCATCTTCACCTCTTCCCGGATCTAGAATATGGAACGCGGTGGATCATCTTCACCTCTGCTGGATCTAGAATATGGGACGCGGTGGACCACTCCTGCGATCCATAAAGTGCTGACGTCGCAGTAGTTGGTGATGGCGTTTCATCCCCGCCTCAATGTCCTGTGTCTTGTACCGCGCGTTCTCCTCCCCCTTCTTTTCCAACTCGGCAGCGTCAATGCGCTTACCATCACGGTAAACGAAGCGCTGGACACCCGCATCTGAAAAAAAACACACGAGAAGTAGTGAGGAAGCAGCAGCAGCAGCAAGACGGGGAACAACGACAACGTCAAACGCATCATAGAAAAAGCCTACGACGGCATAAACCCACCAGACTCAGCACGAGGTGTCACGATCTTCAGAAAGTCAATGGATGACTGCGCGCGTTGGAGCAACGACGGGACTCTACGGCGAAAGCAGGTAGACATTCATTAGGAAGTTAGGAGACAAAAAGAAGGCTAGACTTGTTCATAATAACGACTACGACGCACTCTTTGGGGTCTGTCAAGTTTCCATGGATACGGAACTCGCGACGGATCTGGTCCAGTGACTTCTGGCGCTTGGGTTCGGGCAAACTCTGTGCCAGACGCAACAGTTTCTTGTATAGGGGACGCATTGTTTCCGCCATCAGACCTATTTCGATAAGACAAGGGTGTGTTTGTTTATTTGTTTCGAGAAATAAAGCGAATTCTCCTACAGTCGTCCCTCCATTTAAGAATCTCAATCGAGGGTTAAATTCCTGGTTAAGGAACTTCGCGTCCCGCACTAAGCTGCGTCACTTGGTTTTCGTATGCTGACTCTGTACAAGAGACTTGAGAAATAGGTACTAAAACATGGCGCACCAACCATTAGTTTCCCCCTATATTGGACTTGACACAGTCTCGCATTGCCTGCCATTTTACACATTTGCTTCTGTTTCCACCTCAATCATATCGACAAAGCGAACGATTCTGACGATATGGCAAAAGCGTCCGATGCAGGTGCATATAACACACACCAGGCATAAAACTGGCTCAAATACAAGACTGGGTCAGAGAGAAGCTCGGCTTCCGGATCTCCACAACGGTAGCAGAACGGATTCGTCAGGCACCGTCCAACGCGTTCCTTGACACAGGCAGGAAGCGCAATCGAAAGGTGCTGTTTCAAGCGTTTGAGGCTGAGTACCTCGCATTCTGTCGTCTAAATGACAGCAACACGATCCTCACAGACGAGCTACTACACAAAGAAGGTCGCTCAATCCGAGCGCTCAAAAAATAAGCAAAAACGACCTGTGGCTTTTAAATGGGTGGCTGCACAAATTTAAGACTCGATACGGCATCCAGCAGCATATAATGTTCACGCCGAGGCAGACTCAGTTGTTCGCGCTCAACTTGTAGTAAATCGAATGGAGCTCAAAGAGCTGATTGGACAATATTTACCAAGATATGGATTCAGTTTTGACGAACCAGCTCTCTTATATCGCCACCTCCAAACAAGACAATAGCAACGGTCAAGCGCTCCGGAAGGAAGTATTAGGTGGATCGTAATACAGTCGCAATGTGCTGCAACATGACCGGCACCGGAAAGATTGATCTCGTTGTCATAGAAAAGTCAAAGCAGCCACGAGCATTTCGCAAAGCCAACAACAAGAAAATATAGTCTTGTACTTCAACAACCAGACTGCGTGGCATACCAGGTCAACGCGTGCTGAGATGGTTCCTGCATTTCGATTCCAAGATGTACATAAGCTGAGTGCTTCTCCTGCTAGACAACGCGTCGTTTTACAATGGCCTCACTTAATGCAACAATGTAGCGGAGCTACACAGCTCTTTAAGTCAGAGGAATACTTATTTAACAAGCCAACGGCTTACGGCTGACAGTCTATTAGTTCTACGAAACTAATATATATCAAATTAAAGAGTCACTCAGTTCTACGGAACTCGGGTGGACTCTACGAGCTAACAGCTCAACTACTGTGTACGTCTAGAGAACAACAAGCACAATGTGGAGGGGAATAGGAGTCTAAGGGCTCTCTAACCCACGACAGTTCCAAAGAACTGCAGGGCACAATGTGCGAAAGGGGGGGGTCTAGGGACTTCTGCTTAACATGAGAACTGAGCTTTATTTAGATTTTATATCAAGGAAAACCCTACTTTATGTACCCTATATTATACTAAACTAGAACCGTTACAAATATTAGTATTTCGAACGAAATGGATGGTTGCCACATCACTCAGTCATCAAATGATGACGGTACAAATTGCGTACACGGTAAGTACCGTAGACCTGGGGATATCGATCAATCGATATTCTCTTGCTGATATAAAACCTAAGGTCACACACATTCATCCATATCATTTACGGGACCTCTTTGACCAATTTAGCCAAAGGCTAGTGTGACCCCGTTGCACCCTCCCCCAATAGAATGACGTTACCACAAACGTCACTGAACTCATTCTCCCATTGAGACTTGTTACAAAGTAATGCCCTCACGTGGACCGACCTGGACACCTCCTGGAAGATAAGGTTCAGCCGAATCCCTTGGTGTCGAAGACGTGGACTCTGACAGTGGTAGTGATACCAGAGTCGAGGGGGAGGACAATTCTATAACCAGCACACCTGTGCGTGGGGACAGTTTCCATCCGGCACCTAATCCGTTCCCCGAACGTAGTGTCGCGACTGTGCTAACAGCGCTAGGAGCGATGTCCCCATTGATACATTCATTATCACTAACCCGCTTAACGAGGAGCAAAAACACATGCTCGATCAAGCGGCAAGCGCACGGCGCAAATCAGAAGTTCAGACAACGTTGCAACGACACAGTGAATATGCGTTCACTCCACCTGGCGTGGAAGAACTCATTCGTCAAGTGTCACGCCATACTTTGGCAACACGGTTACCGGCCCCGAGGCAAAAACGCCTACTGAAATCGAAGACCGCAAGGCTCTTCGAGAGAGGTACTTGGAACCTACTGTGATAAATTTGAGTCAATTCAGAGAACTGCTCTAAAAGCAGGCCCAAGGAACACCGGTTCCACAAATTAGGGGTATACCCATCATTGTGATAGAAGACGGGGACGAAACCGCGGAGGACAATATGTTCATCCGCTGGGTGCATGGCGTCCGACGCCTCAGTAGCATGCACGCGCTACGCGAAAGTGCCAGTATGGAAGACATTCTTTTGGAGCAAAAGACTCGCTATGACTTCGCGAAGTTAAAGGCCAGAGGCCGTCTGCGGGGAGTATCACGCTCCCGCTATGCTTCGGCTGTCTCTGCAGCCGCGAGTTCACGTCAATCTTTTGACACGAACTCGTCCGCTCTCGCTGAGACGAGTGAGAAGCGTGAAGTTCGCCAAGACGAGCTCGGCCGTGGCGCTCAAAAACGTCAACGGCGTATGGTCAGTGTTGCCGAAGAGAACCTCATACTCCCATGAGTTTTCAGACTCAGGGTATCCACTCCAATTCACCAGAAATTGGTAGTGACCATGACAACGACGTCGTTGAATTACCCGCTCCACAAGGCACTGAACTTTCCCTTGCTTATCAAGCAGCGCCGGTGGCGGTCGAAGTATCGGTTGAAAGCCATGCTGAGTTGGTGAAGAAAGTCGAGATTTCCGTGAGACTTTGGGTCAGACACAGAACGCCCTGGGCGAAGCCCGATCTCGTCTGGCGACGTTGGAAGGTGATCGCGCCGTCTTCAGATGATGGAGTCACGTCAGTCTTGTGTCGATGCGCAACTTGACCTCTTAATTCGGAAGCTACATTCGGTGGCAACGCCAATGTACGCGGTGCAAGCGTCTTTAAGTCAACATGGTACGGGTCCCGGTATGGCTTTAGCAGGACGACATAAAAGACGGGATGTAAACGCAAGTTTCGCGGCAAGTTAAGCGTATACGCGAGGCCCTTCTTAACCACGACCGTAAAAGGTCCAATGAAACGCGGACGAAACTTCTTTTTAAAGACAGCTATCACTACATTTGAAGGTAGATTTTTAGCGTTTAGCAAGACTTGGTCTCCGACCTCATAAATTTCAATACAATTTCTGCGTTTGGCATCTGCTTGTTCCTTTTGTCTATCTTGTCTATCAGTCATTGCATCTCGCACATGTCGTAAGACATTCAACCTTTTTGCAAGGAACTCACCAACCTGTTTCTGAACAGTGGCAGGGCTGACATCAGCAAGCCGATCGGCAATCCCTCCCCCATCAAGCCCGGAACCACGGAGTGAAAGCGTCAATGGGACGCGCGGATGGGTGAGGCCGCTAAAATAGAACGGGCTGTAGCCGGTCGAGGCATGGGCCGAATTTTTCATGGCAAATTCGACAACCGGAAGCATGGAGCTACAACGCCGAGGCGTATCTGCGCAAACGCTGCACAATATGTCACCAATGACACGATTAACGCGTTCAGTTTGACCATCGGTCTGCGAATGATCCGCAGTGGAAATGTCCGATCGGGTGCCGACCACCTTAAAGATGGACTTCCAAAATTTCCCCGTAAAACGAGGATCGCGATTTGAAACAATTGTTAAAGGCAAATCGTGTTGACGAAACACGCGATCGATAAACAGCTGTGCTGTACACTCGTTATCAATCGAAGCCGGTACTGCCGCTAAATGAGTCATCTTACTCAAACGGTCCACAAAGACCACAATACCAGTGTTGCCGTACAAATTTGCTGGCAAACCAAACACAAAGTCCATACTGATGGATTTCCGACAACCTGTGGGTAAACGCAAACTCGCCAAAGGCGCAGCCGCTTGAGCGGAGGGTTTGACCCGTTGACACGTTTCACACGTACGCACATATGTGCTCACCCATATATATTTTTTGGGCCACCAATAGTGTTGGCTGAACGAGCCATAGGTCTTATCTCGACCGAGATGACCGCTAAAAGCTCTATCATGCACCTTAAATCGGATACGATACTTCAATTCCGCATCATGAGGTACGACGATACGCGGAGTATCCGCCGCATACGTGCTATAGCACAAGAGGCCATGATCGATAGAATATCGATATAGCTTGCACGCGAGCGTGCCGACAATTTTATGTCCGAGTCTTTGAACTCATCACAACCGAGTGCGCGTAACAAAGCAACACACTGATCATCCTTGGCATAAGCCGCACGGATCAAATCAGTGATAGAATACGACAGATTTGTAACATGAGCAATATCATAATCCGGTCTGCGTGATAACGCATCGGCCGAAGCATTTTGCTTCCCTGGTTTATGCTTCACCTCGAAGTTATACTCAGCAAAGAATGAAAGCCAACGGGCCATACGTTGCGAGAGATGAGGCGACTGCGTCACAGTGCGCAACGACGCATGATCCGTGTAGATTACAAAAGGCTTGGAGCCAAGTAGACGTACTCTGAACTTGACAAGAGCATACTTCATTGCAAGTAACTCCTTTTCATGAACTTTATAGTTCTTTTGAGCAGCTTTTAGCTGACGAGGCTCATACGGAATGACGCGTTCATTTACATCGACATCAGTTTGCAACAGTGCACTGCCAATAGCAAAAGCAGATGCGTCACAGAAGACACTGAAAGGTCGCTCCAGGTCAGGCAAAGCCAAAAATGGAGTATGAAGGAGAATCTCCTTGTCAGCTTGAAAATACTTGTGCCTGATCCGAGTCCCAACACCAAACCGCTCCCTTTTTAAACAGGTTGGTTAATGGCCTTGTCATGTCAGCATAGTTTGCACTATACTTATGTACGTAATCGTCTAAACCAAGCCATTTACGCAAGTCTTTTGATTAGACGGAACCGGTCAATCCACAATGAATTTTACCGAAGCATCATCTGCCCGTAGGCCGCGCTTCCCAACAAAGCACCCTAGAAAGAGAATTTTTTTAGCAGCGAAATTGCATTTAGATGCATTTGCATACGGCTTGTTGATGCGTATGCACCCGAGCACTGCTCGTAAATGGTCAATGTGATTATCCAGATCGGATCTTGCTTGTTCTGCAACGCTATGGTCAAAAATTTAATTAAAATAGATTTGTGCATATCCTCTATAGAGCACTGCTCGTAAATGGTCAATGTGATTATCCACATCGGATCTTGCTTGTTCTGCAACGCTATGAACAAAAATTTCATTAAAATAGATTTGTGCATATCCTCTATGAGGGCAAAACAGCTGCGTCGCGAGACTTTTAAAGGTTGCGGGGGCATTAGAAAGTCCCTGAGGCATAACAAGCCACGACCAAAGCATGCCACTCGGCGTGCTAGCCGCTGTGAGAGGGATATCACTCGCTCGCGTGAGCAGTTGGTAATAACTATCGACTAAGTCGAGTGCGCTAAACATAGTGCAATCCACCACAGCGTTCTGAAGAACATCCTTTCCAGGAATAGGTTTCTGAGCAGGTATAATGGCCACATTAAGCTTATTGTAAGCGTGCACACTACGCCACTTAACTTTGGGCTTTCTGACACTAAAGTCGGTGTTGAGTGTGAAGGTTTTCTCTCCCGCACCATGCCTGCCGCGTGGTTTGCACGAAGAACTCGTTGATGACGTCACACTGTTCCTTAGGTAATGGCCATTGCCGTGTGACTCAGTATTTGATCCCAAGGACCAGTTCAATTTCATGACGCACACCTCTGTCGGGAAAAAGGGGGATGGTGGATCATGACACACCACGTCCCGAAATTCCTTTACCAGAGGTGAGAAGGGATCCGAAGGATCCATCAAAATGGCAGATCCACTGCGAGCACTGAGTGCAACTGTAATGTCCTCAAGGACTGTCTCATCTACAAGGGATGACGAGTTCAACTCAAGATCAGGTCTAAGGACCACCACATCGGACAAAGCAACAGCCTTTAAGGCTTGATGAAATTCGTCTACAGACATTTCGTCTAGCTCTAGCAGAGCATTAATCGATGGGAGAGCCTCATGACCAACTTTTACATCAATCGCACCCAAAACCCCATTGACTAACATGTACAACTGTTCACTAATGTCCTACTGGGTCATGGCAGAAGCCTTTCTTTCAACTGCCGCCATCTGGCGTTGCTGTAGTCTCTGTGCAGATACTGAACACTTTAACGTGTTAGGAACATCCGGATCCACGAGGTTGAGATTATCTTCAACCTTAAACTGCTTTCTCAGAGAGCCAATGTCATTACCGACATCAAGTGTGGTGTCCTCACGGCCGACCTCACTATGTGGAAAGTTATTCACTATATTCGCATCTCTTGAGCATAGCTTTTGATGCCTTGGCGAATTGCGAATAATGTCATTACCGACATTTAGTGGGTTGCCATCACGGCCGACCTCACTCTGTGGGTGTCTACGTGCTTAATTCACGCGCGCTACAGGGATCACACTCAAGATGACTCGGCCTTATTCCATCAATGCTTCCAGCATTCAGCGATATACTGTCATTACCAGTTTTACTTAACGGAATACGTGCCGTTTACTATTGTCAATGAAATCAGAGTTAACTAGCTCAGACACTCCAATGTCTATGACACTGACAGAATCCGTCAGTGGCGCGCGACAATAGCACTTTTGTTGCCTAGCAAAGGTGGGTTCATGAATCTCCAAAGCTTTACAAGGAACATTGCGCGTTGCACCTAAGGTCTTCAACCTCCAATCAATCCATGGTTCACGGCGTTCCAGCCAAGCCATCCCAATGAAAAAATCATATCTCGAGTCCAAATCCAGGACAGGACAACGTTGGATACTATCGAAATCTAAAAATTTCACACCTAAGCTCAACGGAATTTATGTACGGTGACACGAGTACCTGTCGCTAAGCGAACAGTGATAAAATTACCTTCATGCGCTTTCAGCGCCTCGACATATTGCTGTCATCCTTCTTGGGACCGGCGTCGATCATAGTTGCCTGACGCTCCAGAGTCAATTAATATGGACCACATCTCTTTAAAGCCCTTAATTTTAGCCGGGGCCACTAACAAGCCTGGCTTATACTCACGTCTCGTGGAAACTTCCACAAGACCGTCTGGGGCTAAGCCCTGTCTATATTTACCATCTAATGATTCGGCAGAACATAGTTCGTCCCCAGTAGGGAGCCCCGCGCCTACTGAAATTTGCCGTTTTCCCGGTTTGTCCGTACCCACTTTCGGGTTGAGAGGCAGATTGAGGCTCGGCCGACTTTGACGCGGCTTCCGCAGTGGGCACTGAGAGCGCAAGTGCTTGGTGCCCCCGCACATGTGACATCTACGGATGTTAGGTTGATGTTTAACAGGCAGAAGATATCTATCTTCTTCTTCAGCATGGCTGAGGTCCATGGGCTTAGCTTCATCGATTGATTTTTAGGCATGCATATAGGTGCCATAGCGAGCGACTTTAAAGTTGAGCTCAGCATTCAACGCTATGTCTTCGGCCCCTTCAAACATTGGGGACGGACGCGGAAAACGACCGTCCTCGCAATCCCCGTAAGAAGGACCTCCATAAAATTAGAGACACGGACTTTCTCTGGAAGAGGGTCCAGCTGCATAGCAGCTATGAGAGTTTGCAACTCTTGGAAAAAGTGCGATAATTTTCCCTTTCCCTGCCTGGCGGTTAGACATAGAGAGCGAACACGATACGTTTGATGTGGTGGCGCGAACGAGATATCTCTCGTCTAAGCGAATCCAATGTGGGAAACGCAATACTAACAGACGTATCACAGGTAAGAGCCCATTCTTTGGCTCTATTACCGAGCTCAGAAATGCCAAGTCCAACTTTATGCTGCTCCGATTGAAGCAAGGCGGCTTCAATAGCCATATCGATTTCCCGGATCCAGAGAAAGAGACTTTTCCCCCTATTTCCCCTCTCAAGTCTTAACGCTAAGAGTGAGCGGACGAGTCTTTGACTCACTATCAGGTACTAGAAAGTATTGAGTACGCATGGCTGAGGCTAAATGGTCGTGTAATTGCCCTATTAGCGTAGCTTTAAACTGCATAAATGCATCAAGACGTGCACAAGCACTTCTGGGCCTTATGTCACAATGTGGTCGACTAGCTCGACCCCTATCAAGGATCTGAGCTTATCAAGCGCGATACGTTGAGCCTCAGAAGGCTAGTCAACGCCTTCCATCTCTCACAGAGGATGAGTCGAAACGACTCAGGTGTAGGATTAAATACTAGTGCTACCAAGTGTAGCGGAGCTACACAGCTCTTTAAGTCAGAGGAATACTTATTTAACAAGCCAACGGCTTACGGCTGACAGTCTATTAGTTCTACGAAACTAATATATATCAAATTAAAGAGTCACTCAGTTCTACGGAACTCGGGTGGACTCTACGAGCTAACAGCTCAACTACTGTGTACGTCTAGAGAACAACAAGCACAATGTGGAGGGGAATAGGAGTCTAAGGGCTCTCTAACCCACGACAGTTCCAAAGAACTGCAGGGCACAATGTGCGAAAGGGGGGGGTCTAGGGACTTCTGCTTAACATGAGAACTGAGCTTTATTTAGATTTTATATCAAGGAAAACCCTACTTTATGTACCCTATATTATACTAAACTAGAACCGTTACAAATATTAGTATTTCGAACGAAATGGATGGTTGCCACATCACTCAGTCATCAAATGATGACGGTACAAATTGCGTACACGGTAAGTACCGTAGACCTGGGGATATCGATCAATCGATATTCTCTTGCTGATATAAAACCTAAGGTCACACACATTCATCCATATCATTTACGGGACCTCTTTGACCAATTAAGCCAAAGGCTAGTGTGACCCCGTTACAAACAATGTCAAGCTGACATTCCTGCCTTTTAAACATGACAGCCTATTTGCAATTGCTCGAAGCTGGTAAGTTTGGATGGATGATGTCTTGACCAGCAGTTTTCACGTGTTTTTTATGATAGGAATTATTCGGTTATTTCAAAGCGCGTTATCGAAAGCAATTACTCCTCATCACTAGGGGAGGTAACACACAACGAATGTGTGTTGTGAGCAATCTTCGTCAAGAGTCCTGCAAATTCTCTTGACGTTGCTGGATCAGCAGGGTGCTCCGCCCCTACTGACCCTGACCGTTTTTTGACGGTCCGACTTGCTGTCGCGGCTTAGTGACATGATTGGACCCACGCCTCGGACCTTTCCTTGGCCAACGTCGTCATCACGTCCTGTATTTGGACGTGTTGCGGTGCTTAGGACACTACAATCATGAGCGTCTTGTCCAATCTTCTGACAGCGATGGCATCTTGCCGTTCGCTTGTGACTCAGAGAGTGGGAGTTCTCGCTCTCGATGTAAAAGAGGTCCATTGGTTTGGAACCTCCTGTTTCCTGTCATCTGGTCGGTCGGTAGTTTAATGAGTTAGCCTGAGACTGCATCAAACTGAAGTCTTCTTGTTCCGCATACGCTATCTATTTTTCAAGCGTATGGAAGTCCTCTCGGAACATGTAGGTCTTAACCGGCCCATCCACAAGGCCGTAGATGAACACGTTGATGAGCGTGTGATCATCAACAGGGTTTTCCGTAACGCTACTCGCAAGGTAGCGTAGGTGCTGTGCGTAAGCGTGCACGTCAGGCCTACCTTGCTTGAGCCTCAAGAGTGCAGAGCGTGCTCTGGACTCGGCTCTCAGCGGCTCAAACGTCTTTTAGCCGAGAATTTAAGATATCCAACGACTCAAACACGTTTGGATCGTGAAGCTTGAGCCCTAAGGTCCAATTCTTTGCTCGTTTTGTCAAATTTGACAGGGCGAAAGTGACCTGCATCTCTTCACCCTCGATGTGACGGGCCCTGATGGCATCGTCTAACTCGACGTACCATCTCAAAAGGGAATCTCCATCGATTCCCTTGTACCTTGAGATTACAATCTTTAAGGTTTCGGGTCGACGCATGTGCGTCGGCACACCCATCGACTGATGAGAGCCTTGCTGTTGTAGCAAGGCTATCTTCTGTCTTTCGACGGCAAGTTCCCCTCGTAGCAACTTGTTGACAGCAGCATGTTGCTGGTCTCTGATCAGAGACCCTAACATGCCACTGATGGCGGGTTCGCCCATGAGCACACTCAAGCGGCCGAATACCTCTCATTTTGAGTCACTCAGATGGGAATAGCCTTCACGTGTGACGTGAAAGCTGTCGTCTTCTTCGTCCAACATGTTCGTGTTGTACGGACGCTAAGTAGTCGTTGGAAGGACTACGAAGTGTAACCAGGTGTAACAGGGCACCCCTTGTCTAGGTGCCACAAAACTTCACGTACACTAGTACGTGCAGAGGAAGCTAATCTACTCAAACGACATAGCTGAGTAAAGGTAAAAAGAGAACTGTATTTAATATAGTTAAGCTATCAATGTAACTTTAATCTTTATCTAACTATTTTAATCTACATTGTCGTATGACGACAACCTGCTCACCACTCGTTACGCGCGTCTAGCAGCGATTGGTGGTAATCTACGGTTGATATGTCTTATATCAACTAATCTTGGAGCAGCGCATGAATACTATCAAAAGGGGATAATATTCCTTCAACATTATCTATCTCGGATAATTTTGGTAGAACATAGTCATGCTAGACAATCTCCCTATTGACACCATTTGGTGTCAATATCATGTAACGGGCAACCCCGTTACAACGAGTATCTCCGGACGTGCTTGACGGATGGAACGGACCTCGTGGAAGTTTTTTTGTAAAAAGCTGCAATTTGGTGAACATAAGTCGCTGAGTCCTCTGCTGTATGACGAGAGGAACTTGAGCAAAATGGAGCAACACGTTGAGCGGTACAATCGCATTGTTGGCAAGGATTTGCGGACGACTATGATCGAGGTACTTATCGAGGCGTTAGGAAAGACATCCTACCGCATTTTTAGTGAAGCGTTCGATTTATAAAAGCAGACCCGTTAAATCATGGAACTCCAACTGGAACACAATTGACCCCCGGTGGAGGTTACTCGAACATACAGGGCGCCTCCTCCATCAAAAGAGCCGTGATGAGATTGAAAAGAGGTACAGAATATCTATGAGGTTCTCGACAAGTAACACATTGCGTCGAGGTGTGTAGGGCGGTTCAGGATGCGTGGTAGCCGTAGCTATTTGAACCGTTTGAGCGAGGATTATACATTGATTTACACCTTACGTCGTGTGATTTTATCCATTCAATGCTCACTTCATTGTTCGCTACTGCTGGCTTGCAATCGACTTGTTCCATCGTAGTTCATACCAGTAAGGCGCGTGGACACTCCGGCTGCTGCAATCGCTCGAAATTGGGAAGCACTATTTGGTGCAGTAGTTTCCAGATTGTTGCAGTGCCTAAAGCTGTCATACCGTGATCACTTCGGACCTCAATCATGAAGAGATGCGCAAAAGCTGGGATTCAATGAGATGCTGAGCGGTTTCTCTCACGATGCTGGATTCATTTCGTTCCACAAGCTTGTAGGATGGCAGTGTAGACCAATCGACACCTACCGTATAACAATTCTTTCAATATTGCTTGCTTCATCCTGCTCGTCGATCATAGTGTCTGGTCGACAGGTACTATGCTCGTCGTGCCCGGAAAATGTATCGGAATCTTGAAACGTCACGACTGCAGACTCGGTGATCAAACGAAACTGGAATTAAAAAGAGACCGAGACATTGCTTAGCTTTTGTGATGTGTTCACTGCTGCCGATGGGTCTCTTATGTAAAGTTCGCGAAGAACTATTGCGTCACATCACTTCTGCGCTACATGCAAGCGTCAAAACTGAAACGAATACGTCGAGCGACTAGCTAGTGCGTGGTCACAAGAGCCCAGTACCAATTCCTCGCTCAGTTTCACTTTTCAGATTCTCTCAATTCTTGCGCCTGTCATAGCTAACGGCGATGATGCACGCTTCAAACATATGCCGCTGCCAGCATGATCAGTGCAGCTTAGAGGATGCTCTACGCTTGGCTGACTCCTCATGTCCGATCTACCAAAGTCCAAAGCACACGTCACGTTACTATATTCTTAGTGGTAGAATTCAAACGTCGTGTCTGCCTGCTTGATGGCATTCTTGTATCCCTTATCAAAGTCCTTGGGCAGCACGACGTAGCGATTCTTCCGCACTGCTTGCAGACCTGCTTCCTGGCAGATTGACGCAATGTCGGCCGAGCTGATCTTCTCTGGACGATTTACGTAATCTTCGAGATCCACCTCGTCTCCGAGATTCATCTTTGCTGTACAAGCCTGGTAGATCAGACGCTTTTGTCGTCGATCCGGCAGCGGGAATTCAATCTTGCGGTCCAAGCGACCAGGACGAAGCAGAGCCGGGTCCAGCGTGTCGGCACGGTTCGTGGCCATGATGACCTTGACGTTCGTTGCTTGGTCGAAACCGTCCATCTGGTTGAGCAGCTCCAGCAAAATCCGTTGCACTTCTCGATCTGCTCCGGTTTGGGCATCAAAGCGCTTGGTTGCAATAGCATCGACTTCATCAATAAAGACAATCGCAGGCGAGTTCTCTTTCGCCAGACGGAAGACGTCTCGGACCATCCGTGGACCTTCGCCCAGGTATTTCTGCACAAACTCTGAGCCCACGACGCTGATGAAAGCAGCTGTCGTGGCATTAGCCACTGCTTTGGCAAGCATTGTTTTTCCTGTTCCTGGTGGTCCATACATGAGTACACCACGTGGTGGATCGACGCCAATCTGTTTGTACAGATCAAAGTGGGTAAGCGGCAGCTCCACGGCCTCCCGCACCTCCTGCTTCTGGATGTCCATGCCACCAATGTCCGAGTACGAGACGTCAGGGCGCTCTGACATTTGCATCATCTGAATACTTGAGTCTGACTCCGGGGGAGCACGTCCACGACAGCGTGCGAGTGCCGATGCAGCGCCACCGAAGAGTTGGGCTTCAGCCGCTCGCGGTCCAAGGTGCTTAGGATGCGCACGTAATAGTTGGAGCCGGCCGTGGAGCCGACGATGCCGTAGTTGGCGTCCACCATCTCCAGGAACTGGCCAATGACTAGCGGGACCGACTGGATCCGCTTCACCTCTTCCTTGGCCCGAATGAGCTCCCGCTTGAGGTTCTTCATCTCGTCCTTGATGTAGCCCTCTTGGATGTCCAGGAACTCCAGATGGCGCTCGAGGGACTTGAACTTGGCGTACAGGTCCGTCTTCGTCTCGATGGACACGGGCACCAGCGGCTCCTCGTCCAGGACGATGACGACGACGGGCAGTCCGATCTCTTCCATGGTGCGACTGGAGTGTCGATGGGATCGAATGCGTGAGATTGTGTGGTGCACGTTACACTAGGCAGCAACGGAAGGGCGGGCCATGATTGGATTGTAGGACGAGTGCCTTGCATGAGCTATTCGGAATGTGCGAAAGACAAAAGAGGAGCCACCGGATCGAGAGGATCCCGGATCTTCAACATTGCATTCTAGTTTCTGTCCTGCTTGTAATGACTTGGCTCCTTTCCAGCAAGAGATGCGAACATCGATCGATTAGGGATTACAGCGCAAAACAAGACGCCTCACTCGTTACAACATCGATGTTCAGGATCGAGAATGTAATTAATTGCCTAAAAGTCGATATTGTAACCGCTCATGCTCGCCGAGGAGTGCAAGTCAACACGCATCGTTGAATAGTTCTCGTGCCAAAGTTATGTTAGCTGGTTGATCCATCGTCCAGGTACGATCCCGTCATTCATGGCTATGCTATCGTTGTAAAATCTGGCTGCCAACATAAGAAGTCCTGCCTCTAGCATTCTAACGTGTCACGCACGCCAGCTAGGCGGGGCTGAGTGCGATGGCTGCAGCGTCCTAGAGCAGAAACGCTTCTGAGAGCAAAGGAACAGAGACGGACCCTTTGAGGAGCACGAGGTGCTCTAAGGGTAGGAAATATGTCGCGCTGGTAATGATGAAGTATCACGCAAGAAACTAGAGTATCAACGGGGTGGCAAATAACTCCTGAACGAGAAATCTTCGACGTCAAAGCAAGCACTTGCGATCGTCGCCTGATTGTCAAGTGCGCGATGTAAAGAAGACGACGGCAGTCTCTTCTGCAGCCATGATGTGCGGTCACAGAACATTTTCGATGCACGACTAGTTGATTTTCAGCATCAAGTTGGAAGTACAAGTCTCGAGCACGTTGTCGTTCAGAGCGTAGACTTCTGCAAAGTGCGGTGTAGTTCTCTGCCGTCGCTTAACGTCGCAATGCTTCCTGCTTTACCACACAAGGTTGCCAGTCAATAAGCTCATTGACCCTCTTCCACAAATCCGGTATGTCTTGCCGAGTGGCTGTAGCTGAAACAGTGTAGACGAACGATAGGCGAAGCAGGTTGCGGTCAGACTACGGCAATACCTCCTCTGCCCCTTTCATCCTTGTTTGGTACAGGTTGCCTAGCCGCCGTTGCATTGATGGAGTTCAGCAAGGCCCGCTAACAGCACGGCACCAGTTCATCAGAGCAGGCAGCAAGTCGGGCCAAAGCAACGCAGCGTTGCTATCTTAATCATGCCGTCGCATTTCTGCCAAGTCCAATGCAGTTCTGATACACCTGCCACGAGTAGATACCATCCACGTGCTGAATGCCGAGCCAGTACCACCGGAGGGTGCACGAGTCTCCGCACGAGCTGTAGTCCACCTGATGCTGTCCGTGCGGGAATTCCGTGCGACAATTGCGGCCTGATACCACTTGCGTGTCATCGAGCCAGACCTCGCAGGGGCCGTCCAGCGTGTAGCCAGAGCTGTCAAGTGTGCCATTCGCCGGAATGTCCTGCCAAGTCTCGGACGGAAGGCGCGTGACGCCGCAGTCAAAGAAGGCGTCTTTGGACACGTGGTACAGCGACCGATCGTCCAGCATCGCGCGTAATGACACGTAGCCGTGCTCTTGTTCCCAGCTTTGAGCTTTAATGCTCGTGTCAATGCCTTGCTCCTGTAGAGAGGCAAGTGCTTCTTTGCCTTGGATGGGTGGATCGTCCACAATGAAATGAGGCGACGGGTGAAGCACGAGTTGGCCTTCGCTCAGATCGTTGCTGGTGAGTCACTGGCCTGTGACGATACGGACAGTAAGAGAGCGAGCAGGTGAGACAGAGCTATAGGGGACTCGGTCTCATGGTGGTCAAAGTGCAAGTGGTCGACGTGCGGGTGTCGTCGAAAACGCTCTTGCTACCGACTGGGAGCAGAAGACGAGATCAAACAAGTTGTCACGATCTCACATAGCGTCGTTTCGATGTTATGCTTACAAGAGTCATCCTGTAATGCAAGCGAGGAACTAGTAGCGACTCATGGCGTCCTGAAAGTCTGCAATGCTGCGCCGATTCTCAGCTCGATCTCCCTTCCCGCTAAGGATTTGTGGAAAGAGCGTCATTACTCAGCGCTTGCCTCCCATCAAAGCAGCCAAGCTTCTCAAAAGAGCGGCTTAGCAACTTGGCCTCCGTCAACTACGTCCTTCTCTCCCCCCTCCTTTTACCTCCTCGTGCCAAACCAGTAATCGCCGTACTCCACCAAAGATGAACGCGTGACTAGAAGGACTTTGGAGGAAAGCAGGGGGCTTAGCCTCAGCATCCTCCGCCAGTTGTCGAGTCACCACTGCTCTTTGTCGTCTCTAGCGTCGTAAATGCCTCGGCCGTCGTCGGATGAATGCCCACGGTGTCGACCAACTGGTCGTACGTAAAACCAAGCTTCATCGCCAGACCCATGGCCTGCGTCACTTCGCCCGCATTCGGCCCCAGGTAATGAAAGCCCAGCACGAAACTATTGCGGGTCTTGTCGCAAACCACTTTCACGTAGCAGGACTCAGCTGCGAGGCGGGCTGCTCAGCGAGCGACCATTCCAACGGAACAAAGTTCTTGTGGTACACCTCCATACTGTCGTCGCCGTACTTCTCCTTGCTGTCCTTCTCTGATAAACCGCAGCAGCCGTACTCAACCGGCGTGAACACCGCTGTGCAAACTTTGTCGTAGTCCATCTGCGCAGTACCTTCGTTGTACAGGCGACGGGAGAGTAGACGCCCCGCTTGGATCGCTACTGGTGTGAGCTCTGGCGCGTCAATGACATCGCCAATGGCATAGACGTTCGGTGTCGTAGTCTGCTCATTATTCACCCAAATGCGGCCCGTCTTCTCGTTCAGCTTTACACCAGCCTCATCCAAGCCAAGCTTGGCAACGTCAGGATCACGGCCCGTCGCATTGAGCACTGTGCCAAACGCTTCCTCACAAGAATCACCATCTTCCGTTGTCCACTTTACCAGCAGCTGACCGCTATCGAGCTTTGTGATGGATTGTGGAACCGTCTTGCGAATGAACTCGATGCCTGATTGCATCTCCATGTACTCTCCAATCTTGCTAGCCATATCCTGATCAAAGCCACGAAGCAAGATGGAGCGCACCATCACCTTCACAGTGTAGCCCATCCCCTTCAGGAAGCCCGCACACTCGAGCGCTACATACGAAGCGCCCACGACCAACGTCTTGCCAGGTTCCTTCTGCTTCATCCAGAAGATGTCATCACTCGAAACTGCAAGCTCGCCGCCCACACACGCCAGCACCCTAGGTCGGCCACCCACAGCGATGACCACATGTCGGGTAGTGATCTGCTTCGTGCCTTTCTTTGGATGCCACAGCTTCAGTGTGTGTGGATCCACGAACGAGCCGAGGAAATTCTCATACTTCACTTGCTTGCTGCGGAGCTCTACCTTGTACTTAAAGCTGATGCTCTTAATGTAAGAGTCAACGTTCGACACGAGCTGCTTCCAGTCAAACGTCGGGACCTGCCCATTCACGCCCCCGACGTTCCAACCGAAGCTCGCACAGTCATGGTACAGTATCTCGCCGATCAATGAGCTTTGGTGCATCAGTTTCTTTGGGATGCAGCCAACGTTGACACACGTGCCACCAAGACCCCAAGACGTTCCTTGAGGAGACGGTTTCACGTAGTCGAGCACACACACCTTTTTCCCGAATGAAGCAGCCTCCTTAGAGCATGCCAAGCCCCCGGAACCCCCACCAATCACCACCAGGTCGTAGTCGTAGCTCACCTCGTCCTCTACAACAATCGGAGGTGCCTTCGACTCATTCAATTCAGAAGCACTAGCAGTGTCGTTCGTTGGAGCAGCAGCACCAAGTGTCTCCCCATCTTTTGCACTTTTAGGTACGTCTTGGATATTCCCGACAGCGATGCCCGACCGGAAAACCGCCAGTAGATCGTCGCAGCCGCCCACAAACGTCGTGGGGTTACTGATCCATACAAAAGGTGACGTCACATGCGTCGTAGCTTTAGAGTCGAGTCCAAACTGTGTGACAAAGTCTTCATACGACGTGCTGAGCCACTGCTTGAAGGCGTTTCTGTCCTCGAACGCGTGCGTCTCCATGGCCACACGGTCTGGATACATCACGTGCATGGCCGCCGCCACCTCCTTAGCCTTCACGAAAGAGGGACCTATTGATAATGAGCGAGTATGAGCCACAACTCGGCCTGGTGTTGCAATCATTGACGACTCCTTCCCCTACATGTTCTCCAGCCTGCGATGTGGTAAACCGACGCGGACGAGTCCGACGCCATCGCCAGCGACTTGTTCAGACTACAGGACACAGGGAAACGGAGAAGAGGCACGAGAGGTTAGTAGCAGCTTCTTTACACCAGCGGGGGACTGCACAGACGAACGCACTCGACGCCTGACGCCATTTTCTTGCGCTTATGGCCGACTGCATCCATGCAGGACGCCTGCAAACCGGCATTGAACTCGTGACTTCTGATTGGTCAGAAACACGTATAGGCGTCTAGTTGATGACAGGGGTACGTTTTGGGGCATCAGCCGCTGCGACAAACAGAAAGTTTCTCCTTTCCGTGGGACGAGACGATTGCTAGGGGCTGAAATCTTGCTACAAACTGGTAGTATACGCGACCACAAACTGACCACAAAGACAGTTTGAGATAGGGCTCCGTCCCGCGCAGGGTGGGACGGAATTGGCCTATCAATCCCGTCCTGGGCAGGATGGGACGCAGGATACTGCGCAAAAAACTTTTACCCTACATATCTCTCGAAGCGACCGGTCCTGCATACACATGACCGCCTCCGTATGTGCTAAGGGTACCAAAGAATGAGAATAATAGTGAAACGGTAAAATACTTTTCCCTGCGATCAAACCCTAGCTGCTATAACAAATATAGACGCTACAAGTACAATTTAGTGGAACTGAATGTCTGTTCCACTCGATCTTACTCGGTGCCGAAGATGGCGTATCCATGCAAGCAGGGATTGCTAGTAGCGAATTACGAAGATCGACCACACGCATCAACACCAATACGTTGAGTTTTAGCGTGTAGCGACGTCTTGAAGCATGATCGTAGCCAAACCGTCAATCTATTGCGATTTCTTGAAAGGGATTTTGACGATCTGATGTAATAGTACAATCTCTTGACGAAGCTTTTAATCAATCGAGAGTAAAAGAAAAGACTTATCTTAACCACGGATTGCAGTCGGGGTCTCCAGTAGTCGAAGAATGCCCCTCGGATCGTCGCTAGCGGCAAACAAATCATCTTTACATACATCATTAATTACTGGATGCATGCCTTCGAAGAAAAGTCGCATGATTGGCAATCAATTCTGAATTTGACAATGAATACATAGAAAATAGACGACGCTTTCATTTTTGCTCTCTTGATTCCCACAGAATTAAAAGATCGTACAAAATTAATAGAATCTCGACGATATATACTAAGATAAATGTAGAATGCGGGATGCGCAGGACGCGTGGAATGGGACCGGCTCATCCCGCAGGACGGGACGTTGCGGGACGGAGCCCTCGTTTAAGACTATACATTTTGGCGTTGCTCATTCTGTGTACCTGGATCGAGATAAAGAGGTGCACTGTACGCACAGTTCTAAAATAGAATCGAAGTCCTACAGAGCCCTTGCTAAGGTTCAGTGTAAAATACTGCAACTTAAGATAGGAACGCCAATGCAACTTCACGCCGTGTCTGTACGCTGTCGATAAAATGCATTCTACACTGTCTTGTCGTAAAGCAAAAAACCACAACGGTTGAATCTCTCACCCACTCCAGAAGACACAAGCATTGATAGCGATACAATTAATGGTAAAATCTGTTGCTAAAATATGTATTTTTATCCATCGCTTAAGTGCTGTAGTGTTTGTCTGTAACACGGCCAACGCGCTTGCCAATAACAGTTTCCTTGACAAATAACATAATACAATGTCACAGTGTAGTTTCCAAGGTGAATTACACTGCTCGCCTGGTATGCGTGGACCTGAATAGGCTGCCGTAGTGCACAACTCCACGGCAAGAAAAGTTACGTGCCACCAGACTCGGCCGCGGAATAGCTGGCTTCGATAGGACGAATAAGGTACATGAAGTCGTTCCACAAGGACAACAGTGCCGAATCAGTGGATATTCCAACCTCGAAAAGCCCGATCACATGCGCTGTGATTTTTTGTTGTCGAATAAACCACAGAACACCTCTATAACGTCATCGCTGCTACAATATCTGCTAGTAAGATAGAAATCAAAGTCACTCCTTTATCGGCAATTTACCTTGCTGACGATGCGTACGCTCTCCAGATTTGCTCGCGCCGGAGTTCCTTCAACTTTGAAGCCAAATATCCGCCTCTGGTTGTTGCCAGTACTTGAGTACTTTGATGACAGGTGTGAACTGAGTGGTACATGAGCGCATTGACTAGCAATGATACGCCTTGTTCCATCTGTACACTTTTGCATCTTCCTATGGATCTCGTGTCATTATCAGTTCACCACAAAAGTATATGTGGTACATTGACCTTGTGTGGTCATTATCACGTGAGATGTTGGCGACAGCAACGGTCGAACCTAAACACTCCTCCTGACCGTGGGGTGATACTTGTAACACGGCGAGAGCTCCGTTACTTTTACACACACACATACTCTACGGTCTTACAAGGAAGCGTAAGGGTGCACGTGTTTTAATGTGTGCTGAATGTAGGTTAATTTCAACTCTGATTATTAGTGTTTTGTCCTAAATAATCCTGAGTCCGAGTGGTCTCTAAGCCACCAGATCCACTAAATTAAAGTCGCATCCTATTGGCTAGAAATGGGTATGTACCCACTTACTAGCATTATAGGAATACAACACACTGCACCGATGGCCTTAGGTGCAGTGTATACCTATTTTTGTATGTGTATTGCCTACGTAGGTAAACCTAAATTTATACCAGTAAGAAATGACTCAAACAAGTAGAGTATCGGTAACATCTCGTTGCCCCCCCACTCAAACAGCACATATGTGCAAATAGAGCAGAAAAAAACGAGAATTAACTATCTCGCCAGCACCGTACACGTCGCGGTGACGATATCATTGACTTGACAGCATCTCTGCATCACGCCTCAATTCCTCACGTGCCGACGAAACAAACGCACATCGCCTCGAAAAGCACGTATGCTATAATGGCGACCGCGCCCACACTCCAGAAACTTCGATGGGCGAACCAACCACTACTCGACTCTCCTTCGTCGGCTCCTTACACGTTGAAATACGCTACAATTGCAGTGGAATCCGCCGTGCGCGCAGTGACGACGACATGTGCAACTTGCGGAGACGATGGAGAGGGAGTCGGGTCGAGCCCGTCACGGCCACACTCGCCGTGACGCACGCATCACTATATGTATCGTGGACAGTGTCCGTGACACGCTAGAATTTGGAGCCGTC